GCCATTGCTCTATATTCAGCTTCAGCACTAGACCGGGCCACTACATTTTGTTTCTTACTTTTCCAAGAAATAATATTGCCTCCAATGAGAACACAATATCCTGTAGTGGAGCGTCTATCCATAGGGGATCCAGCCCAATCGGCATCACAATACCCGAGATATTTGGGTACCCCCTTTATCTTCATACAACAGACCTTGTCCTGGAGCTTTTTTGAGATATTTTAGGATGTGAACGACAGCATTCCAATGATCAGTACGCGGATTTTGCATAAATTGACTCACAACTCCAACGGCAAAAGATAGGTCAGTGTCTGGTAATGGTGAGATAAATGAGTTTCCCAACAAGTCTTCTATATCTCTCGGGATCAGAGAGCGGTTCACCTTGATCCGCCATTAATTTCGATTTGGATCCATAGGGCATGTTCATTGGTCTACAATCAATCATGCCTGTTTCTTTCAAGATATCTAAAGCATACTTTCTTTGGGAGACTATGATGCCTTCTTTTGATTGAGCCACTTCAATCCCTAGAAAGTATTTGAGACAACCAAGATCCTTAGTTTGGAAGTGATTGCATAAATGTTTCTTTAGCAAAGAAATTTTATCAACATCATTCCCTGTAATGACTATATCATCTACATATACAATTAAATAAACACATTTTCCTGAAGCAATATAATAAAAAACAGAATGATCTGCTTCACTTCGTTTTAATCCAAAACTTTGAACAATGTGACTAAACTTTCCAAACCAAGCACGTGGAGATTGTTTGAGACCATAGAGAGAACGATGTAACTTACAAACCAAACTAGACTCCCCCTGAGCAACAAAACCAGGAGGTTGCTCCATATAAATTTCCTCCTCAAGATCACCATGCAAGAACGCATTCTTGATATCTAACTGATGAAGAGGCCAATGACGGATAGCTGCCATAGCAAAGAAAAGTCAAACAGTAGTCATTTTGGCCACAGGAGAAAAAGTATCACTGTAGTCAAGGCCATAGATCTGAGTATAGCCTTTTGCTACTAATCTAGCTTTGAGTCGATCAACTTCACCTTTTGGTCCAACTTTAATGGCATAGACCCAACGACAACCAACAGTCTTCTTCCCATGTGGAAGAGGAATTAAGTTCCATGTACCATTGTGCTCAAGAGCCTGCATTTCATCAATCATGGCTTGTCGCCATCCAGGATGATCAAGTGCCTCTTTTACATTCTTTGGAATAGTAATACTGAATACAGAAGAAACAAAAGAAAAATAGGAAGGAGACAATCTATGGTAGCTAAGAAAATTGTAAATGGGATGTGGATTACGAGTAGAGCGAGTACCTTTGCGAATGGCAATGGACCAACTTGAGTCACCATTATCAGGAATCGTGATATCAGGGGATGATTGAGAAGGATCTGCTGAGGAAGACTCATCTTGGGACATGAGACTGATCATTTGGCTCCTGTGTTGATAGGTAATAAGAGGCAGTGATGAGGATTCCGGTGTATTTTGTGTGAAATTTTGGGTGTCAGGAGGAGGTACAAATGACTCCACTAAGGGTATAGGTAGGACATTTTGGACTGAACTAATATCCTGCATAGAAGAAGGGAAGAAGGGAGTTGACTCAAAAAAAGTGACATTAGCAGACATGTAGTACCTCTTGGTTTCAGGAGAATAACATCGATATCCTTTTTGAAGACGAGAATATCCCAAGAAGACACATTTGATGGCTCTAGCTGATAGTTTATCTAAACCTGGAGACATATCATGAACAAAACATACACAACCAAATACACGAGGAGAAACATGAAAGAGTGGGTCCTTTGGCAATAGAATAGAGTGTGGAACTTTATTGTTAAGAGAAGAAGATGGCATTCTGTTAATGAGAAAACATGCAGTAAGAATAGCATCTCCCCAATGATGAACGGGCATATTTCCACCAAGTAATAAGGTACGAGCAGTTTCAACCAAATGTCTATTTTTTCGTTCTGCTATACCATTTTGTTGTGGTGTGTGAGGACAAGTAGACTGGTGTAAAATGCCTTGGGAGCTTAAGAGAGTGGAGAAATCAGTAGAAAAGTATTCTTTAGCATTATCACTTCGTAAAACTTTGATTACTTTTCCAAATTGATTTTTGATTTCGTTAAGGAAAGACTTAAAGATAGGTAATAATTCAGAACGGTCTTTCATTAGATAAATCCAAGTACACCTAGAAAACTCATCAATGAAGGTAACAAAATATCTATAGCCAAAGGATGAGACACGACTAGGACCCCAAATATCAGAATGAACAAGAGAAAAGACAGAGTCACATCTAGATTCAGAACGTTTAGGAAAAGAGGACCTAGTATGTTTCCCTAGTTGACATGATTCACATTCAAAATCTTGAAGAGTCTGAAGTTCAGGAACCATTTTTTTTAATCTTGATAAGTGAGGGTGCCCTAACCGTTCGTGTAATAGTTTTGGAGACAAGGATGCAACACAAGATACAGATGATTTAGTCCCAAGGTAGTATAAGCCTCCAGATTCATGTCCTTCGCCAATCTGTCGACCCGTACCACGTTCCTGTATAACAAAAGAGTTGGCATTAAAGGTTACTGAACAATTCAATAATTTGGTTAATTGACTTAGAGAAATGAGACTGAAGGGACATGAAGGAACAAAAAGAACAGATTTTAAGTTTAAAGACGGAGAAATGGAGACTTGACCAGTTCCTTTAGAGGCTACTTTAGATCCGTTGGCTAAGGTTATGAGATGAGGAGTTTTAGGAAATGAGAGAGAAGAGAACAAAGAGGCATTACCAGACATGTGATTAGAAGCACCTGAGTCAATAATCCATGGATTTTGACTTTCCACAGATTGTGAAATGCAAGCTGTTGATGAATTTGGGGTTGTTGATGACTGTGCTAGATTACTGGATTTCAACCTCAAATATTCCTGATATTCTTCGTGAGAGAACTTGGGTTCAACCATTCCAGATTTGGAAAAATTGACAGTTTTATCAGGAAAACCGTGCAAAGAGTAGCAATTTTCCACTGTATGACCCATTCTCTTGCAATGAGTGCACTGAGGACGTCCTCTACCTCCACGTCCTCCTCTAGTGTCGCGACTTCCTCTTCCACGGGTAGAAATCATAGCAGAAGATTCAACAAGTTCTTGATTATTTTTTCCTTTGAGAGTTGGAACACGAAGCAGTCTTGTAGTCAAACTTTCCATAGAAGGAACTTCTTGTCCAGTTAAAATTTGATCTCTAACATGATCAAATTCTGAATTCATAGCTCGGAGAGTCATAACCATATAGAATTTATCCAACTTTTGCTTTATCTCCTCTAACGAATCCACCTCTAGGAACATCTTTAATTCTTCAACTGCTGATTGAGCTTCAGCAATAAAGGTCATCATATCTTTATCCACTTGCTTGAGAGAGGCTAATCGATTAGCGGAATCATAGAGGCGTTGGATATCATTTGCGAAGATATTCTGAGCTTTTTTCCAGAAAGAGTTACATGTTTTGAAGGATCTGAGAGTGTTCAAAATATTTGGTTCTACTGATTGCCACAGTAGAGCACAGAGTTGATAATCAAGCTTTTTCCATTGTTGAGCCTGATCTTCTGATATCTTACTTCCGTCTTCTTCTAGATGATCGTGAAACCCTTGTCCAAGGAACCAAAGTTCCACTGAAGAGGACCAAGACATGTAATTTTTTCCATTTAATTTCTCAGTCGTTATCGTGGGAGTTCCGGAAAAGGAGGTTGTGGGCCCTGACGACATGTTTTAAATAATGTAGATGTAAGATGGAGACAATGGAACCGGTAAGAAAGAGAACACCCAAGATAGCCTGAAGGTTAGTGGAAGGTGGTCAGAAAAGTCGTCGAACGGCAGCAAAAAAAGGTGACTGGACGGGGGACTGACGGTTGCCGAAAAGTGAAAAGTGACCGGAAAATGGTCGGACGGTGGCCGGAAAATGGTCGGACGGTGACCGGAAAATGGTCGGACGGTGATCGGACGGTGATCGGAAAATGGCCGGACGGTGACCGGAAAATGGCCGGACGGTGACCGGAAAATGGCTGGACGGTGGCCGGAAAATGACCAGGACGGTGGCCGGAAAATGGTCGGACGGTGGCCGGATGGTGGCCGGACGGTGGCCGGACAGTGGCCGGACAGGCAGAGCAGGACCAACCTGCTCTGATACCAAGTTAAGAGAGTAAAGAGAATGAAAAAAAGATTTCTAATTTTGTGGGATTCTTACTCCACTCTATGATCTCATATATATATATATAGGATTACAACATTTAAAACAACAACCACTAACTACTAACAACCACCAACCACCAACTACTAACCACTAACCACTAACTAATAATAATTCTAACAAAACCCATGTGCTGTATTCTCGAAATGATGTATATTGGACAAGAAATTTACATGGAGCCTTGGATTTGTTTAGGGGAGCCAGATTCTGTTGACCTTTGTTCTAGGAGCCTAGAAAGGAGCTAATTTGCTTGATTTATGAAGGAATGATGTGATTTTCAATGATTTTATTAATTTTTGCAATATAGCATTCAAGGTTAAGGAGATAATGGCACTAATGTGTGTTTTAATATATTTAATTTGAGGGGTGGAAAGACAAAAATGACTGATTTCTTATTGTTAGCAGAAACTTGCATTTTATATTCAGTAGAATTTTTTATCTTTTTGGGTGGTGGTGATGGAGGTTGTGGGAAGAAAGAACCATAAATTCTTTTCCATTTTGTAATCTTACATTACAATAATTTCTATTATTACATGTAATTAGTCCGGGTCCAACCAGGGGGTTCAATTTCGTCAGCTCATTACTTCCTTGAATTACAGTATTTTTTGACTAGTTACTTTATAGTAGTATTTGTATTTAATGTGCCAATAGAAAGAGAGAAAATTTGGCCGTAATTTATATTTGTGCCTCACTAAAGCAAACTAAATACTCTTTATTGGTTCTTTCTGCAAAGCTGTATTTGAAATTTTCAAACGATTGCAGGCTGTGAAAAAACCATGTGATTTAGCTGTAGGCAAGACTTCAAAGGATTATTCACCTGACCATTGGGGGAATGTTGTACTAAAGCATTTATATCATTCATTAGGCAATGATAATGGTGGTATGGAGTGGTGTATTAGGGAAGCACTTATGGTTCGTCCTAAAATTAGTTGTGCCTCTACAATGATGGTTGGTCCTGCGGTTAGAATATTACATCCTGCTTACATTGGCTTGTCCTAATTCACAATTGTTCCTTCAATTTTATTTTCCTCCTATTTTTCTGCAGGAAACTTTTAAAATTGACAATAATGGTCAAGAACACTCTTCAGAATTAGAGTGTTTGCTTTATAGATTACAGAGTGAAGCTAATGGGCACAAAAATGCTGTGCATAATGGATTTTCTAGCGAGGCAGATAGCCATGGTGCAACTGAAAGGTGTCAGCATGTGTTCCGCGATATCTTAGCCTCTGAGAAGTTCAGTTCATTATGTAAAATACTGCTTGAAAATTTCCAAGAAATGAAACCCGAAACTGTATTTGACTTTAGTGTGATAAACTCAAGGATGAAAGAGCAAGCTTATGAACATTCATCTACACTTTTCTTATCAGATCTTCAGCAGGTAAATAATAATAGAAGCCTCTCTTTTTACAATTTTTAGATAGCTGTGATTTTGCATGAGAAAATTTGAAAAATTTAGATAACTGAATATGTGGTTTATCTGAGTGCCATGATGGTTTGCTTGTTGTTTTCTTTTTGGTGAAAATATTGCTTCTAGTTTTAGATATAGTAATTTATTAAAATTCAATGAACAATCATGAATGTTTTTTGCACCCAATGTTTTAAATTTGATTGGCTCTTTTCGTCCTCAAAGGGATCCTTCCATTGGGAACTAAGTCAGAGAAAGTGTTCCTTGGTTGTTTGCACTTCTTTGAAGACTGTTTTTAAACAGAATTATTGTGTAAAATTTAGAACGTTAATTTCCCCCCTATTGTGAAAAATAGACAATTGTAATTGCAGGACCAATTTAAGTATTCAGTCAGTTTCTGGGTTGTTTTTGTCTTTGTTGTATAGGATTGAGCTTTGAAGCTACTTTGGTGGTTAGGCATCTTTTTTTTTTCAGTCTAGTTATGCTACAATATTGCTTGTTATTTACATAAACTGTTGAGTGGACAAGGTTAAGTTCTCATGTTTTGCTTCAAGGACTAGTATCTAAAGAATTTGATGATTTTCACTGATTTCTATTGTAATTGAGTGATGATATATATAGAGTTGATAAGGGAAGAGAAGTTTCACTCATAATTTCTTTGCAGAGATTTGGTGCTCTTGAATTGGATAACTGGACTACTTGCTTGTTTGGTTTTAATTTTGTGATGTGATTATTATGTCAAATTGGAAGCAGCTGTTACTGTTTCTGCACTTGTAGGGAAATGGATGTGGCAATATAAGGTTGCACGTGTTTTATACTTCATTCCACACATGATGTACATAGAGATAATTAAAAGAGGCGGCAAACGTAGCTAAATAAGGGAACAAATTAGGATCCCGAAAATATTATCTGATACAGGAATCAATTATAATAATTCCTATTAACCTGATGTCCTTATCAGAATGGTCCATACATGTGTAATCAGAACCATCCATAATCTTCATGTCCCCTCAAGTTGGGAATAGTTTTGGATCAATCCCAGGTTGGAACTTATGAAACTTGGTAAAGCCTTTGTGATTGTATCGGCAATTTAAGGTTTGAAGGAGTTTAGTTAGTGTTTTTCATTCTTCAATCTTCTCCCCAATGAAGTGTGTCAATCTTCACATGCTTGGTTTGTTGTAATAAACCTAATCCAGTGCTAATTGTTTGCTTGATTGTCAAAGAATAACATTTTTGCCCTTTTGCTTGTGATCTTAAAGCCAAGAAATCTTTTCTGCCACATTCCCTCACATTCACATATGCCATGTGCCATTGTTTCGACTTCAGTTTCAGCACTTTTGCCCGCCACCATTATTTGCTTTTCCATGATACCATAATTCGTAGGGATGGCAAAAGTGACCAACTTGCCTTGTCTTGGCCTAACCCGCCTCTAGTACCCCAAAACGGGATTGGGTGGGCTGGTCCGCTATAGTCAAGACAGGCTACAGGTCCCGGCCTGCCCCATCAAAGGACGGGCTAGGAGCCAATCCACCACTATTTTTTTATATGTTTTTTTTAAAAAATACACCCTTAATTATATGAATAAATTTTAAGTTTTTATTTATTAATTTTTATTAGATTAATTAAAAAAAATATTATATTTATATGTTAAAATAACTAATTATAATCAATAATTTAAACTTAATTGGTTAATATTTATAATTTAAATTATAATATTATAGTATATTTATATATTTCAATAATATGACACAAAAAATGTAATATTTTAAATTGTAATCCTTTTTATTTTAATTTTAATATATAAATACTTTTTAAAGCGTGCAAGTAGACCAACCCGTTCTACCCTTTAGCCCATTGGGTTGACGGGTTAGGCAGAGTGGGCCAAAATGGGTTGACGGACTAAAACCATGTATCCGTCCCACCATTTTTTGCAAGCCCATCAGGCCTATCCCATTTGCCACCCCTAATAATTTGCCATACCTATGTGCAATAATCATAGGTGAAATCTAGGATATGTTAGACTCACTAATGTGAGTTGCATAACTCATTTTTCAAATAATGAACTATGTCCTCATAATACCATCAATAGACCTGCTTTAGTTGGCAAAACAAGGAACTGCATTCTTTGCAAGAAACCTTTCCAACATACAACATGGGCCCAACATTTGACATGTATTGTCACAACAACAAATAGAAAAGTAAAATATTCAAAAAGATAAAAGGAACTCCAACGTGTGTTGAGTACCAAGGCTAGCACATTCAGCTGTGTCCAAATCCGTTTAGTGCAATCCCAACAATCATTAAACCGACATCATCAACTGTTTTGATGTCTAGTGCACTCCTTATTCCTTTTTCTATCTTTTGTGCATTGGTATGTTGTTTTATGTATATATTCTATTTGATTAGGTTAGATTGTGAATATTTTATCAATTAGGAAATCAACTCTCTATGATGCTGAGAATAATCTTCTTTTTTTTTTGTAGTTTTTGTTTTGCTAGTAATTTCCCATTATGGTTTATTGTTTCTCCCTGTCCGTTCTCTATGTATAAGGAATTATAATATGACTTTTGTATTAGTACCGAAAGCGTATTCTGTTATCTTTGTCAATTGGAATGTCTCCCTCCTTTAATCAATTTTTGATAGGGTCTATAGGAGGCTTTTGTTGGTCACCTATTAGGCCTATAAGTCAGGTTTGCAAAAGAGAAAAAAAAAAGCAAATGGTTATGTGGAGTGGGGAGGGTGATACAGGAATCATGCAGTGGAGCCATAGCTGAGAGAGAGAAAATTGGTAAACGTAGGGAGGTAACGCAAATGAAAGGGAGGAATTAGTCTCAGGTTCTTTATGGTGATTCTGGGTAGAGTCTGGCTCTTCTCATCATCTGTTCTCTATTTCCATTATATAGAAGAATTTTCTTTTAAATGTTCTATGCATGCGACCCTATAGGTTTTCATTATAATGGATTATTAAATATCTAGTGCATAAAATCTTCTACTTGCACTTGAATATTTTAATATTTGTTAATAATGAGCGATATCTAGCAACCCATCACTTTTACCCAATATTGAGAATGTCTTGTGATTCTACATAACCTTTGTATGACAGATGATGTTCTTGTGTAACTTAGTCCCTTTGTCCAAAACATTAATAATGTTATCCAATCTATAATTGTTTTTATTTTCAGAACTACTTTTAATAAATTGTAAGAGCAGTTATATAGATTAAATAGGATGAAAAGTTTGTCTTTATTTTGTTGCACTCAAAATTCTAAATAATTTTCATTCTTTAACAGAGATCCTCTGTTTCTAGAACCATGTTGGCCATGGTTTTGTTCTTGAAATTATCCTTGAACAATGAATGAATTACGTCCCAATCAATATACAATGTGCCCAACAATGTAATTAGTTGCAGAATCCCTATGAGGAAGCACCCCGACGATGTGTTCAATCGATAACTCCTCAATTCACTGCAAACAAATTTCTTTATGAACAATGTTTAGCATCTATCCTTGTTGACACTGCTATTTCATTATAAATGGCTTTGACGGCTCCATAAAATAATAGAGCATGTGTTACTGGTCATCAAGTGGGCAATGAGCAACCACTCAGTGAGATGCTGTGGGGGGGACATTGATGGGAGTGGTTTTAGAGAATTTGGAGACGAATAGACAAAGTTGACACTTCTAGAAGATCTTCTCCTCCATGATGTTATATTTTTTTATCATATTGGCTGTTCGAACAGACAGTTTCATACTATATCAAGTTGATGCTAGTCCTAAGGAAATTATGAAACTTGCTCCAAGAGGTTTAACCTTGTTTAATGTTGTTATGAATGCCTTGTGTCAAAAAAGTCAGAAGTATTCCCGTGGTTGAGTCGATCTCCTAGATCCTATCGTAGATTTCCTTTGCATTTGAATAGAACATAATGTTTTGACCTATTTTGACTTCATGACGTTGATCAACCTATTTCCAACTTCCAAGTTGGATTTGGATCAGACTTTGAAGGAGGATTAGCAGTGCTGATTAGGTAATTGTTAGAATTATTATTAGTTAGTGGTTAGTGGTTGTTAGTAGTTGGTGGTTGTTGTTTTAAATGTTGTAATCCTATATATATATATATATATATATATATATATGAGATCATAGAGTGGTGTAATGCATCTCACTAAATTAGAAATCTTCTTTTCACTCTCTTAACTTGGTATCAGAGCAGGTTGGTCCTGCTCTGCCTGTCCGGCCATTTCCGGTCACCCGCCGGCCATTTTCGGGTCACCAGCCGGCCATTTTCCGGTCACCGTTCGGCTATTTTCTAGCCACCGTTTGACCACTTTCCGGTCACTTTTCGGCAACCGTCAGTCCCCCGTCCAGTCACCTTTTTTTGCTGCCGTCCGACGACTTTTCGACTACCTTCCAATAACCTTCCGACTATCTTGGGTGTTCTCTTTCTTACAGGTTCCATTGTCTCCATCTTACATCTACATTATTTAAAACATGTCATTAGAGCCCACAACCTCCTTTTCCGGAACTCCCACGATAACGGCTAAGAAATTAAATGGAAAAAATTACATGTCTTGGTCCTCTTCAGTGGAACTTTGGTTCCTTGGACAAGAGTTTCACGATCATCTAGAAGACGATGGAAGTAAGATACCAGAAGATCAGACTCAACAATGGAAAAAGCTTGATTACCAACTCTGTGCTCTACCGTGGCAATCAGTAGAACCAAATATTTTGAACACTCTCAGATCCTTCAAAACATGTAACTCTTTTTGGAAAAAAGCTTAGAATATCTTCGCAAATGATATCCAACGCCTCTATGATTCCGCTAATCGATTAGCCTCTCTCAAGCAAGTAGATAAAGATATGATGACCTTTATTGCTGAAGCCCAATTAGTAGTTGAAATATTAAATATGTTCCTAGAGGTGAATTCGTTAGAGGAGATAAAGCAAAAGTTGGATAAATTCTATATGGTTATGACTCTCCGGGCTATGAATTCAGAATTTGATCATGTTAGAGATCAAATTTTAACTGGACAAGAAGTTCCTTCTATGAAAAGTTTGACTACAAGACTGCTTCGTGTTCCAACTCTCAAAGGAAAAAATAATCAAGAACTTGTTGAATCTTCTGCTATGATTTCTACCCGTGGAAGAGGAAGTCGCGGCACTAGAGGAGGATGTGGAGGTAGAGGACGTCCTCAGTACACTCATTGTAAGAGAATGGGTTATACAGTGGAAAATTGCTACTCTTTGCACGGTTTTCCTGACAAAACTGTCAATTTTTCTAAATCTGAAATGGTTGAACCCAAGTTCTCTCACGAAGAATATCAGGAATATTTGAGGTTGAAATTCAGTAATCTAGCACAATCATCAACAACCCCAAATTCATCAACAACTTGCATTTCATAATCTGTGAAAATTCAAAATCCATGGATTGTTGACTCATGTGCTTCTGATCACATGTCTGGTAATGCCTCTTTGTTCTCTTCTCTCTCATTTCCTAAAACTCCTCATCTATAACCTTAGCCAACATATCTAAAGTAGCCTCTAAAGGAACTGGGCAAGTCTCCATTTCTCCGTCTTTAAACTTAAAATTTGTTCTTTTTGTTCCTTCATGTCCCTTCAGTCTCATTTTCCTAAGTCAATTAACCAAATTATTGAATTGTTCAGTAACCTTTAATGCCAACTTTTTTGTTATACAGGAACGTGGTACGGGTCAACAGATTGGCGAAGGACATGAATCTGGAGGCTTATACTACCTTGGGACTAATTCATCTGTATCTTGTGTTGCATCCTTGTCTCCAAAACTATTACACGAACGTTTAGGGCACCCTCACTTATCAAGATTAAAAAAAATGGTTCCTGAACTTCAGACTCTTCAAAATTTTGAATGTGAATCATGTCAACTAGGGAAACATACTAGGTCCTCTTTTCCTAAATGTTCTGAATCTAGATGTGACTCTGTCTTTTCTCTTGTTCATTCTGATATTTGGGGTCCTAGTCGTGTCTCATCCTTTGGCTATAAATATTTTGTTACCTTCATTGATGAGTTTTCTAGGTGTACTTGGATTTATCTAATGAAAGACCGTTCTGAATTATTACCTATCTTTAAGTCTTTTCTTAACGAAATCAAAAATCAATTTGAAAAAGTAATCAAAGTTTTACGAAGTGATAATGCCAAAAGAATACTTTTCTACTGATTTCTCCACTCTCTTAAGCTCCCAAGGCATTTTACATCAGTCTACTTGTCCTCACACACCACAACAAAATGGTATAGCAGAGCTAAAAAATAGACATTTGGTTGAAACTGCTCGTACCTTATTACTTGGTGGAAATATGCTCGTTCATCATTGGGGAGATGCTATTCTTACTGCATGTTTTCTCATTAACAAAATGCCATCTTCTTCTCTTAGCAATAAAGTTTCACACTCTATTCTATTGTCAAAGGACCCACACTTTCATGTTTCTCCTCGTGTATTTGGTTGTGTATGTTTTGTTCATGATATGTCTCCAAGTTTAGATAAACTATCAGCTAGAGCCATCAAATGTGTCTTTTTGGGATATTCTCTTCTTCAAAAAGATATCGATGTTATTCTCCTGAAACCAAGAGGTACTACATGTCTGCTAATGTCACTTTTTTTGAGTCAACTCCCTTCTTCCCTTCTTCTATGCAGGATATTAATTCGGTCCAAAATGTCCTACCTATACCCTTAGTGGAGCCATTTGTACCTCCTCCTCCTGACACCCAAAATTTCACACAAAATACACCGGAATCCTTATCACTGCCTCTTATTACCTATCAACACAGGAGCCAAATGATCAGTCCCATGTCCCAAGATGAGTCTTCCTCAGCATATCCTTCTCAATCATTCCCTGATACCATGATTCCTGATAATGATGACTCAAGTTGGCCCATTGCCATTCGCAAAAGTACTCGCTCTACTCGTAATCCACATCCCATTTACAATTTTCTTAGCTACCATAGATGGTCTCCTTCCTATTTTTCTTTTGTTTCTTCTGTATCCACTATTACTATTCCAAAAAATGTGAAAGAGACACTTGATCATCCTGGATGGCGACAAACCATGATTGATGAAATGCAGACTCTTGAGCACAATGGTTCCACATGGGAAGAAGATTGTTGATTGTCGTTAGGTCTATGCCATTAAAGTTGGACCAAAAGGTGAAGTTGATCGACTCAAAGCTAGATTAGTAGCAAAAGGCTATACTCAGATCTATGGCCTTGACTACAGTGATACTTTTTCTCCTGTGACCAAAATGACTACTGTTCGACTTTTCTTTGCTATGACAATTATCCGTCATTGGCCTCTTCATCAGTTAGATATCAAGAATGCGTTCTTGCATGGTGATCTTGAGGAGGAAATTTATATGAAGCAACCTCCTGGTTTTGTTGCTCAGGGGGAGTCTAGTTTGGTTTGTAAGTTACATCGTTCTCTCTATGGTCTCAAACAATCTCCATGTGCTTGGTTTGGAAAGTTTAGTCACATTGTTCAAAGTTTTGGATTAAAACGAAGTGAAGCAGATCGTTCTGTTTTTTATTATATTGCTTCAGGAAAATGTGTTTATTTAATTGTATATGGAGATGATATAGTCATTACAGGGGATGATGTTGATAAAATTTCTTTGCTAAAGAAACATTTATGCAATCACTTCCAAACTAAGGATCTTGATTGTCTCAAATACTTTCTAGGGATTGAAGTGGCTCAATCAAAAGAAGGTATCGTAGTCTCCCAAAGGAAGTATGATTTAGATATCCTGAAAGAAACAGGCATGATTGATTGTAGACCAGTAAACAACCCTATGGATCCAAATCAAAAATTAATAGCGGATCAAGGTGAACCGCTCTTTGATCCTGAGAGATATAGAAGACTTTTGGGAAACTCATTTATCTCACCATTATCAAACCTGACCTATCTTTTGCTGTTGGAGTTGTGATTAAATTTATGCAAAATCCTTGTACTGATCATTGGAATGCTGTCATTCACATCTTAAAATATCTCAAAAAAGCTCCAGGACAAGGTCTGTTGCATGAAGATAAGGGGGTACCCAAATATCTGGGTATTGTGATGCTGATTGGGCTGGATCCCCACTACAGGATATTGTGTTCTCATTGGAGGCAATATTATTTTTTGGAAAGGTAAGAAACAAAATGTAGTGGCCCGGTCTAGTGCTGAAGCTGAATATAGAGCAATGACATCTCTCACTTGTGAACTAGTGTGGATGAAACAATTCCTTCAAGAATTGAAATTTTGTAAGATCCAACAGATGAAGATGAATTGTGACAATCAAACAGCTCTCCACATTGCCTCTAATCCGGTGTTCCATGAAAGGACCAAACATATAGAACTTGATTGTCATTTTATTCGTGAAAAATTGTTGTCTAAAGAAATTTGCACTAAATTTGTCGGGTCCAATGATCAACTTGCAGATGTGTTGACGAAGTCTTTAAGAGGACCTCAAATTGAATTTATTTGTTCCAAGCTTGACACATACAATTTGTATGCTCCAGCTTGAGGGGGAGTGTTAGAATTATTATTAGTTAGTGGTTAGTGGTTAGTGGTTAGTGGTTGGTGGTTGTTAGTAGTTGGTGGTTGTTGTTTTAAATATTGTAATCCTATATATATATGAGATCATAGAGTGGAGTAATGCATCCCACTAAATTAGAAATCTTTTTTTCACTCTCTTTACTCTCTTAACTGTAATCACCTTGCTTTTACCACTAATGAAATGATAATAGATGGAGATGGCTTCACATAACCTTTGCCATTGAATCTGTGCCCAGTGATGATCATGTTTTAAACAGTCAGATATTGGATTGAGAGGCAATGGTCCATATTGAAGATGTGATGTTGGAGTGGCTGATATCGTTAGAAGCCATGGCAGGAATATAAGTTTATCATTTTTTTTTGTATTTGAGAGTGCTTTGATGTCATAAACAATCAGATGAATGATAAACAATCATATTATTCATACACCAAGTGTTAAGCATTGCAGGGATGGGGTGTATCAAGAAAATTAAAGTCTCACAATGATTAGTGAGAAGGCCAAAATAGTGTATATAAATAGGGGACGACCCTCATTTTAGGTCGAAACCTAAATTCTATGAATACAGTACAGGTAGTGATAAGATTCACTTATGATTCCTTGGCCTAGATTTGCTACACCAAAATCAAATATAATCAGACCGTCTAGAGCTGATTAATGAGAGCCGACAAACCTGGCTAATTAAGGAAAAAAGATAGGTCCTGAAAATGTTATCAATTACAATATTTCGAAAGATGAATAAATTATTATAACTGCTATCAACTTGATTGCATCCGATCCATCCATTATTTTTGCCTAATCAGAACCGTCCATAATCTTCAGTGTTGTTTGAGGGTATTTTTTTAGAGTGCTTGTCAATTTCTTGCCTCTGGGAGGTGACAAGAGTAACTTCGGGTTTTACATGACTCAGCCTTGTTAATATTCTTAGGTTTGGCAAAAGCTTCAAAATACTGGCCATCAGATTGTTGCTGTAGCCAGGAGCCTCTCGAACATGTCAAAAGCTTCTTTCTATGAACAGGTAAGAAAAATCTTGTAATTCTTTGCCACAGCACTTTAGTTTCATCATTTTTTCTTTCCTTTGAATTTTATTCATTTTTATCTGTTTTATTTATTTCATGCCAGTTGGGAATTTCAGCGCACAGATCATTTGAAGAGGAAAAGCTAGTGGTAAGAGTGTCAATTTTTTATTCTATCATGTGCTGACCATGCATATCTAGATCAAGTTTGATAAATCTGATGTTTAGAAATTTTGTGTTGGCAACAGAGTTAAAGCACCTTTGATCTACGTAATAAGATAAAAGTTTTGCACAGATTCCTAATCCTCTCATACTTCTGCCAGTATTCTATGCAAATGTACAAGAGACTTATTTTTTTCTCAATATCGTAAGTTGCAGTTTTTGTATTATAAGATACAGCATAATATAAAATATATGCATATGCCCTGGTATTTTTTGAGACAAAAAAAGGCGAACCATGTTTCAGTTTTGTTAAAAAACATGAAATAAAATTAAGAAAGAAACCCCCAATGAGTCTTTTAGCTCAAGTGATAGCAAGTGTGTCTGGAGACTATATAATGCAAACAAAATCCAAATTCCACCAAGGATGCTTTTAACTTTCTTTGCTCTCCCACGTTGATCTCCTTATTAACCATTAATAATATAGAAATAGTTGCAACCCTTTTCTCCTTTACGCCATCTAGCTACTCTGCAAGAGACCAATGCTGTCTATTTATCCAAAGCACAGAGACACTTGATGTTGATTGTTAACCAAAAGCACAAGAACTGAGACAAAAAATGATTGTCTTTTTTGCTCAGTTTTGTCGTAGCTCTATATCAGAGATTAGAGATTTATCATCTCTAGCACCCATTTCTGTTGCATTATTCTGCACTATCAAAGACCAATGTTGTTTCTATTCCATTCTCTCTCTTTTTTCTTCTTGATTTTCTCTTAAGAAACTAAATGTATGGCCAGACTTTATCCCTTATCAGTCCTATGGTAACCCCATCCTATTTGACTTGGCAATTTCGTCGGTGGAATGCTTATTAAATATACTTTTATATTTTTAATTTGATACACAAGAATTAAGAGATTAATCCCTATGGATTGAGATTTTTCCCTTCCTTTAAAACATTTTTTTCCTTTGGTTGAGAAATAAAAGATATGATAAGTGTAGTTAATTTTTGCCCTGGCCTCTAAATTTTGCTGTGTCAGGACAGATGGGGAGATTTGTTTGATTTTGAAGACCTATGTCTAGGTTTTGCAAGTTTTAACTATCAATGATGCATGTGATTGTTTAAACTGAAAAGGCTCTGGCTTTTTATGTGTTCAATCAGTACCAAATGCACTTCATATAATATGAAATTTTGCTTGAGATTTATTAAACCGGTATTGAATTTTGTTTATGTTGTCATGTGAAATGGCTGTGTAACCAGGAATCAATCTCTCACATGAAACCAGAGCAGACAGTAGAATGTGTTACATTTAAAGTTGGCACTTGCAAGCATTGTGAAGACAAAGCAGAAGGGGCAGACTGTTTGGTTTGTGATTCATGTGAAGAGATGTATCATCTGTCCTGTATTGAGCCTGCTGTGAAAGAAATACCCCGCAAAAGCTGGTTCTGTTCCAATTGTACTGCTGGGGGAATTGGATGTCAACATGAGAACTGTGTGGTGTGTGAACGTTTGAATGTCCCAAAGGCACTGGACCACATTGTTGGCCAGGAAAGTATCCCTACAATGGATGAAAAACTGAATGAGTTGAAGGAGAATTCAAATTGTACTTGTGATGGGATTCAGGTTTCCTCAGGTGGATACACATCTGACTGCAAAATTTGTAAAATGGTGGTGCGTCATGGAAAAATAAAAATCTGTGGTCACTCATTTTGCCCCAGTAAATACTACCATGTAAGGTGTCTGTCAAGTAAGCAGCTAAAGTCATATGGTCACTGTTGGTATTGCCCTTCTTGTATATGCCAAGTCTGCCTCACTGACCAAGATGATGATAAGATTGTACTCTGTGATGGCTGTGATAATGCATACCATATCTACTGTATGAAACCTCCTCTAAATTCTATCCCGAAAGGGAAATGGTTCTGCATAAAATGTGATGCAGGGATACAAGCAATACGCCAGGCAAGAAAGACTTATGAGAGCAAAAAAGGGAAAATTGGTCAGAATGATTCAAAGCCAAATGAAGATATTGACAAGAAATGGAACAAGAAGCGAGGACGGGAATCCGACAAAGTTGGAGGAATGGACATGCTTATAACTGCAGCAAATACTCTGAATTCTGAGGACATTAAGCAATCCAGGTTGAGTCAGAGAGAACATTGACATAATGGCGTATGTGCTAACTGCTAATACCTGATGTTTAATATTTCCTGCATTTGTTTTAGGTAACTGATTTTGTTAGGCTGTAAAACTATGGTAGATTTTGCTGACTTTTGGATACAAGCCATTTGGTGAGAAAGGATTGTAGAGGCTAAAGAGTATGAAGCTTCTATAGAAACTGTGATAGATGAAGTCTCGGGTATTTTGCAGGTCAGATACCATTGTAATATGTGGTTGCTATGAAATTTAATTGCCTGCTTTGCACCATGCAGATTACAATGTTTTGATTGCCATGTTTTAGTAAGCCAAAGTTCTTTAGATTAGAATAATGTCGATATCCGATTTGTGTATGATCCAAAGGTGTTTTTTATACGTTTACATTTCACTGTTTCAATTGGGCACAAGCCTTGAACAGCTTTCTGCATTTGATGCCTCATTCACTGAATAACTTTGGGGGTGTTTGAAAGAGTTTCTTCCACAGTGAATTTAGTTTACAAAAATAAGTTCAAGGTTAAGTTCACAAAAACTAGTTTCAACTCTAAATTTAGTTTAAACAAAATAGGTTTTTTCAGATGATTTCCATAGTTTTGCAGTTAAGTTTATGAGTAAGTTATCCTGCAATAGGATTTCAAACAAAATCATTAAGTTCAGTGGTGGAACTTTTTGGGAGGGAAAAGTGTCCAAAATTTTGTAACTTATATATATATATATATATATATATATATATATATATATATATATATATATATATATATGATTTTGACTCTTTAATTTAATGATTATTATATATATTTATTTGTTTTTATATTTAAAATTTTGATCTTTTAATTTTTTCATATTCTTTTTTTACCTTTTCCAGAATGATTAGTTAAGATCCACACTCCAACATATCATGGTTTTGGTAGTTTTTTGCCCTGATCCAGCTGTTTAAGTCTATGGGGGCACTAATTTGTTAATAAATGACAATAATCAAAACAAAAATAAAGACTTCATAGAAAATTAAAATGGAGCATATTTTTTTTATCATGAATAAATATGAAGTGTAAAAATTATTGAAAAAGAAAATGAAAATTACGTTTCAATTTTATTCAGTTGTGTCATTTAACGTTTAACGAATGTATATAAACTGAAAAAATAAAAATTGAAAATATTAAATTGAACGAAAAATAATGATAGTTATATGCAATTTTTTAAAATTAATGAGGAGAAAAAGTTATTTAAGTTATAAAAAAATTATTAAGATTTATAATTAGAATGATTTTATCCCACTGCATATATCGTGTAGCTTAGTCGTATACATAATAGTTTGTTGATGAAATGTTTAGAGAGGAAAGTAGTGGATTTGTAACTTTAATTTAAATTCTATAAACACGCGCTTATTAATCCTTTACTTTAGTTCCTGAATTTGTAGGTGTTAATTTTTTAATTTAATTCTCGAATTTTAAAATTATCATTTGAAAAAAAGAAAAAAAAGTAAATAGCTTTTTGGAAAGTTAAGACTTGAGAGATTTTGTAAAGTGAAGAATAATGTGATGGATTGAGGAGTTAGAATAGCAAAGAAACAGTGATCTAAAAGGGTGTTGAACTTTTGTCACATGGAGTGTACTTAAATAAGTGAAAAATAGCTTTTGGACAATTACTTCGTCCACTTCCACAATTTCTCATGGAAAATTCTTCATCATGGAAAACACTTCATCACGGTAAATATATAAAAAGGATAAATAATTATTTATTATGAGAACTTAATACTTACAAGTAAATATATAAACTGTTTACATTATCTTAAGATTTCAAAATATTTTACATGAATAAGTTGTAATAAATTAATAAAGTTTTAAACACTTTTTAATAATTTCTTTTTTATCATTTTTTTACTTCATGCATCATCATATATTTTATAGAGCACTCATACATGTATCTTTATCAGGAACAAAGTAGTCAAGGTATGTTACTTGCTCATGCTTTCTCTTTTTGAAGTTTGTCTTTGGGACACAATAGTTGGTGATATGTTTTTATAGGTGCAACTGTATGTCTTAATTCTTTTCTGTGTAGTCAAAATGTGAACATTCCTTTAAATGTAATTGTGCTCTTTGATGCTTCTGAAATTATTTGGATATTTGGATACATCTTTCATTTATGTTGCATCAATAACAAGTTGAACTGGAAGCATAAAATATAAACAAATATCAATGCTTGCTTTGTTCATGAAAACATGTTTAACAAGGGAAGACACACACACACACACAAAGAGCGTTGTCAGAGAAAAATTAGAAACATGTATAAAGAGTGGATCCACATGTGGCATGTCCTAATCAAATATATAATTTTTTTATTAATTTGATGACTGGTCAATCACATTTTTAAATATAAGCAGTCTTTTCGTACATGTAAAACCCTAGGTGTGTTTGGTATAAAATACAACAGACTGTGGATGGTAAAAAAAATATTTAAAACCAAAAATGGCATAATTTGATCCAATTTTTTATATTTTAAGTAAAACATTAGACAACGTTGTATTAACAGTTTCCATTAGTTCGTTGCCAGCCAGATTTTCATCGATTTTCTTGTTCTTAATAAATTTTTCTTATGTTTTGTTTTGTAATTTATTTGCATCTATCACTAGTATAAATAATAATGAACATTCAGTAATAAGTATTTTGCAGTACAAAAACATTCTGCAATTAATAACCTTCAGTATATATATGCAATAACCATCACTGTACTATGACATGAACATCACTATTTTGCCACCTTTACATGAACTCTTTTTGAGCGTTGAGCTGCTGAAAAGTATACAAACTGAAATTTCCTGTATCTACAGAAACTGGGACTACTAAATATTACACTGGAATATTCAGATAACTGACTTTCGCTATTGTTTATATGCCTTCACTGGCTTTCATCCTTTTCACCCACCACGTAACGATTTTGAGTGGCACTCAGGCCAGATGAATGAAGTTGTTTTCTCTTCTTTACAAGATGTAATGCAGTTTTCCTATCATCTTTAGCTTCCTCATAATCAGGCTGCACAACAATAAACTTTGTTTAGTATCCATCTCAAACTGGATGCAAAGATGCATATCCTTGGTGATTCAGCTTAAGGTTCAGAAAAGAGCATGCATGCACATACCAGGGGCAAGAACCCAACTTTCCACAAAAGCCTCAGTGACCCAAAATAAAAATGTGATGACAATCCTCGTTTAGCTCTGCTAATTAAAATATTGAAGTTGTGATCAATCACTGATAGGTTTCTCCAAAATGTGTTTTGGTGCATGTTTGATTTGTAAAATTATTTACCACTTTGTTTAACCAATTGTATTTGAATGCCAATTATAACAAGTCAATCATCTGGTTCTTGAACTTAAAAATATAAATTCAAGGTCAATACTGGATAAAGAAAAAAAAAAGATTAAGAACTGAATATTATTCTGTGACAATGAGTGCAAGGTGTACACGTGTGTCTACATGTATAGGGAGACTATCCTAATATTTATTGGTTATGATTTTGCTTTCATAAGGAAACTAAATCACAAGGAAAGAAATTCATATAAATAATAAAAAGGAAAGAAAATCATGTGCTCAAACAATGACAAACCTTGAGAGCTAAAGCTCGGTCAAAGCTTTCAATAGCATTATCAGGCTCACCAAAATTCAGTTGTGTTCTGCCAAGTGTGACCCATGCCTGGAAGGATCAAGATTGAAATGAATGCATCAATTATGAAACTGAAACGTACTAGCAATGCTCTAGTAGGCATGACTATCGGTGATTAAAAATCAAACTTTGACATATTTTTTAGTTTATTCCTACAAATACATTCAGCAAAGGATTTGGTATAAAATATAACACTGATGATATACCGAATCTATCACAGAGAGGGTGAGTCAACAAAGCATTAGCAAAAAGTTAGAGCATTTTATCACAAAATCAACAAAAATGTATCAAGGTTCTAGGTCTTATAACTTGGGTTTTCAATGCTAATTCCTTTACAGCACTGGCCACACTCATCACGTCAGCATATACAATACAAGAACAAATGTGAATCAGGTGAAAATGATACTGAATTTTAAATGTATGTTCATACTACTAGTACTTGGATTCAGTAAACAAAATAAGACTATCAGCCTATGATTGCCTCAAACTGCAACCTGTAATTGAAGATCAAAAGGAGGAAGATCAATTATATGCATGAAATAGATCACATACACACAGGTCAAAGTTTTTGAGTTTTAAGAATTTTCTGAAGAGAATCTTCCCCCTCATCCATAGTTAAAACTATGATTATGTATTTATTTAGGCACAATTACTACCACAAACTACTAAACAAAATTAATGTAGAGAAATATCATTAGTAGGAAGCAATATTGCAAAAGTCACAATGTTAAGCTTTTAATAATGAATTCAAATAAAGTAGTACCATACCTCAGCCCATGACGGGTCCAATTCAGTCGCTCCTGTCAAGTAGAGGGCACATATATTGAATTTCAAGCACTAAACCACTTAACAATTTAAGTTATATAATAATCAGAAGCAAAGCCCCAAACAAATCTACTACTTCTTTGCAGAATTAAATTATAACAAACTGATGACTATGAAGTTCATATGGGAAAGATGAATTTTCTGAATTTCTCACCAAAAACAAGGACTTACTATACTCATATCACACTCCAGGAAACAGTTCAATTGTTATACTTAATTTAGTAATTTAAAATTTCATTAGATTAATACATAAGATTGAAAAGAAAAAGAAAAAGTGAAAGACGCACGAGTTGCAGCCTTTAAAGCATTCCAAGTGTCTCCAATTTCAAGTAAAACTTGAGCCTTTTGTTCATGCAAGATTGGAACATCAGGTGTCAACGCAATAGCAGTTTCCCATTTACTCAGTGCTTCGCTGTACTTCCCATCCTGGAAGAAAAAACATGGAATGAACTACAAAACACTGGCATTGACACAGACATAAAACATGACATTGGGACACACCAAATTTTAAAACTTGTTGGACAAGAACATGCCATATATACCTATATATAATTCAAATTTAAGAAAAAAAAAATCATATATAGAAGATTCTGTAATGAAGCTGCCAAGTCAGAAAGGACCCGTGGTTAGAGAATTGGGACAACAGGGATGAAAATTGTTAGAGGAGATCCAGGCGTGAGGAGTTAGAGGCTAAGACTAACAAATTCGTGATTGAGAGATTTTGTGTCCTGATACTCTGTAAAAGAGAGAATAATGAGAGGGGATGGTTGGTGTGATGTCAATTTCCCTTCATTCTTCTTGGACTCTTTGTTCTTCCCTCTATCATATACTACGTCATTATAATTGGTTAGTATCCTCATACTTCATACATTGAGAGGTAATTTTCGAAAGATCTACTAAACAGTAACCTCACGTTTTTTACTTTTAGCTTCAGTACAGTTTGAAGATTACAATATGTAGATATATGTCATGTGTCAAATTGTAATGATGCCAAGAGATGACAAAATGACCTACCTTATTTATCTTTTTTTACTGTTAACAATCTCTTGAGTTCTTAAAGTAGACCAAATTCTGTACAAGTTTTAACGCAGGTCATTATTGTGGAGTCAAAATAATTATTTAATTTGGATATACATATACCTGTTTTAGAAATTTACTGCTTATCATGTTTGTCATGTGTACAATACTCGGATACAACACCAAATGGAGTGTCCATGTTTTATAAACAGGACGCCATATTGATTATACGGCACAAAATCAGAGAAGAGACATCATGTGCCACTTTTATGTGACCGATTGCACTCATGCCTCTTAGAAATGTAAAGTACAATATTTCAACAAGAAATATACTTTAGAGCAAAAAAAGAAAAGATAAATCCACATTGATAGAAGTTAAAGCTATTTCTCCAGTGGGAAGTGTGAAATACATAAGGATTAAGAAATTTTTTAAATCAGATCATGGAATAAAATACAAGCATCAATTGCACTCACAAGCCTTGAATACTGAAATTTCAGTCGTCTAATTAAACCCAGAAAATGCTACTCCCAACAGTAAGTAAATGTGTAAGGGACTGCCACCACAGCTATGTCCCATATAGCTGAAATGCAAGTAAGTGACTTGCAAAAAGAATACACAACCAAATAATTTGATTATGAGTTGAGACTGTAACTGACTTCATAACAAAACTTTATTCCAGACAGGGTGCCTTTATCTGGAAACAGCATGAAAGAAAATTCACAAATCAAATTGATATTTAGAGCTAAACTTATCTAAACAAAATCTCAGACTCAAACAGACCAAGGCCTTGTTTGGATAATCTTCTTAATAAGGAATTATAAAAAAAGAACATAAAGTGTAATGAATTAATATTCTGATTCTGTAATACCTGATTACAATAAAATCATTTAAAGTCTTCCAAATAATAGATTTCACGAGTCCCTGTTAAGGAAAGGTTTTAATAGCCGACCATAGTTAATTTTTTTAACAGAGTTCTTATACATTTGACTTTTTTTGAAATAGGTCATGGTATTGCAACGATCATTAACATTTACTATACTACAGGATCTATTTTAGTGCTCAGATTGCGACAAAGTATGGAGCCTAAGAGTTTCTTTGTTCGGTAGCTTTATGATGGTACACCAACTAAGGAGCGACCAAGGTTGGGATTGTTTTCAACACAAACTCAAAATGCCTTTCACCAAATAAGATATTTTTGTCATTCTCTCAATATCGTGTTTACAGTGAATGATGGATTAAACAGTGTTGTTCGGTTTTTCTATCTGTTAAATAGAGTCCTGTAATTTATCAAACTATCAATATGCCCAGCTAGAGAGGACTAATTTATAAACTTTTTTGAATTATAAGGTCTTTGATAAAATCCTTTATAGACTACACAAACTTGTTACAAAAAGGGAAAATTTGTATAATAACAAGGAAATGCAGTTTTACAGTCATCTAATCACACATCGCAAACCATTATGCATGTAAATTAATTTTTGTAACATAAGTCATATTAAATGTGACTTTTGATTGGCTTTCACTAGAAAGTGTAAAAGTGTTTATGGTCCAAGTGTACTAGGAAAAACCACAAAAGAAAAAGTGCTTAGGGTGTGTATAATAATTAAGTTTTAAGAAAAATATTACGACAAAACTTCCGGTGCTCATCATTCAGGTTCAGAAAGCAAATCAGAGTGAGAAAAAAAAGGCATTAATTTTCTGTAAATCATAAATTCAGCGACCCTCGTCTCATTTAATTGATAAATGTTCACAAAAACGACGAAATTGTACTCATATTTCCCCAATTTCATGTAGGCAGGTTTCACAATTCTACTTTACCTCAGTCCACCTTTCCCTTCCCCGGAAAATAAATAGTAAATAAACAACAGAACCTTAGAGAAAAGTACGGGTATGTGCAACAATGAAACATACCATAGCGAGCTTGTCTCCTTGAGCTTGAAATTCATTCGCCAATTGTGCGGCATGAGATTGGTCGGGATCAGGAACACGCTCGCCATCTTGTGGATGGCGATGGTCGTGATGCTCAAAAGGAAGGTCAGTGAAATGAGACAACGTGGGCAAACAACGTTTCTTCTTCTTGTTGTTGTTCCAAGTCACTTTCATTTCCACCGCCACTTCTTCTTTCTTCAACGATTTTGGTTGTGTGAGCGTGTCTATGCGAATGTTCATGTTAAGTCGAACCAATATGGCTTCTTCTCTCATCTACCAAATTCTCATCATTTTTTTTTTTCTTCCTCTGTGGTCTTCTTTACGGGCCTCTGTGTTTTCCAGTGGACAATTACTTTATGCACCTCTTCCTTTCTATTTGCACTCCTATACTTTTGAAACCACCCCATCATCCTTTTGCATGTTTAGATTGACTGTGGTGGTGGAAGTCACGTTAAAAGTGATTTACGTCATTGTGTTGATAAGTATGAAGTAGTGTTAATTTAAGCATTTATATATATATATATAAAATTATCAGTTATATTTTATTTCAAAAGTTCAAAATCCTTTAGAAAATTGATTTTAGAGAATAAAATAATTTATTATTTTAAAATATAACTAATTATCTTGTGATTAATTCTAAAAATTAGTATTATTACAATATAGATAAGAAATTATCTTAAAATATAATTGGATATATATATATATTTAGAATTCTAAATTTACAAATAATCAATCATCACTAGTAATTATATTTTTCCGAAACATTTTAATACGGGTTTCTCTTTTTAAAGAAGAACAAAAGTTTGAAATCAAAAGTTTCATAGGAGTGTTTTCAAGATGTTTCTAAGCTTTAAAGTGTTAATTGTTGAGCATTATGTTTCTTGTAGAACAACTTTTTGGATGAAGATAAAATTTGATAAGTTCGCTAATCTTTTTGTATAGTTTTAATATTTTAGATTCTATAACATAAGATATAGTATCATTCCATTACTTTTTTTATTAGTTTCTTGTAACACTTATGTTTGGGATAATTGTGTAATAGGTTCCTAAGTATTGTGTTCTTAATTTTTACAGTAATTTAAAGAAGTGTTTTATTCTTGAGTGTAATGCATAGTATATGTAAAGATTTGTTTTTTAAGAATAATAGAACAATCCAACTCAAGTTGGTTGGATTAAAACCCGATGCATTACTGATTAGTATAAAAATTTGTTGTCTAGTTATTCAAGAAATATTTAAGAGGATATTTAATTTAGTACAATTTTTTTTATTATTTATATAATTAGTATTTGGTATGCTAATAAGCCTAATGTAATTTAGAATTAAGAAAAAGGATAATTTATATATATATATATATATATATATATATATATATTTAATTTTTTTTTCTTAACTCATTAAAATATCATTTAAAAATAAAATTTAAAACAAACAATATCTTAAACATATTAATAATTCTGATAATATTATCTTATTAAACATAAAATCGAGATAATTTCGATATAATAATTAATTTTAATAATATTTAATAGTTATTCGAATAATTGACTATTGTATAGTCATTTTTATAATGAGTTGCATAGGATGTATTTAACTAGTTCTACAAGTATGTATACTTTATTTAATCATGTTTCAATCAACCATTATACTGAAATTAGTGCTACTTGAATGATTTATTGTTCTCAATGAAAATATTCTCCGAAAGATTGAACTCGATAAGAGAAGACTTAAGACATGTATATATGAGCGAATCTTATTCAGCATAATAAATGATATATCTTAATACCTCTTCAAGGTTGAAGAGGAAATTTTCTTCTCTTTGTTCATTAAAAGAAGAATCTTCATCATTCATGGATGATGTGGTCCAAGGCGGTGGAGATACCCTACGAACAAACTTCAAAACAATATTTAACAAGTTGAAGCAGAACGAAATAAGTTAACGCGTTTTTATATCAATCCGCGTATTTTTGTTTGTTTTTTTTTAAGCAAAATTCTTTCTAATAGTACAACATCCCTTTCACAATAGTATATTTATTACATAGAACTTATAAATATTAAGAGATATGTTTTTATTCATTTTCACTGAATATCAAGTTTTTTTGTTATTAAATACTATTATATTATTTTTCGTAGAAACAAATGCAGAAGTCTCATTGTTCATATATACCTCAAATTATTTATCCATATTTAGTATATATGAAATTATAAATTGAATATCTTCGTCACGTGATAAACATTATATAAGTTTAATCGTAATTCTTATGTGGATATTACTACCAATATTTGTTTGGTCATTAAATGAGTTATTAAAAAGATAATTCATTTAAAAAGGGATCAATACTAATTTATTGATCATGGGTTAAATGACATGTTTATTTGGTGGTGAGAAGCTCGGAATAGTATAGAAGATGAGACTTGTGACCAAGTTCCAAAATATGACTTCAAACTGTTATAAAGTGAAGACAAAATGGAAGAAAACAAATTAGAGAGAAACCCAGAGAGAGAGAGGTATAGTAAACACATATTATCTTTATTTTATTCTTTTTATAACCATTAAGTGATAAAAAAAGTTAAATGAGTAATTAAAAAATAATATTAATTTCTTAGAGAATTTATAAGTGTACTTCGTGAAATGTTACTGTAAATTTTGAAAAAGAAAAAGTATTTAGGTAGGGTTTTTCTTCTTTTCCGAAACCTCAGAATTATTTCAATAAATAAACAGGAAAAGGGTGTTAAGAATAAAGAATTAATTGTAGTAGAATTATGCAAATTGATTTCATAATTTATAGACAAGCAAACAATATATATATATATATATATATATATATATATATATATATTATTTGAAAATTAAATAATATTTATAAATATTCTTAAATATTTTTACTGACAAATAACTTTTTTCCAATAAAGTGTGACTGTTGCTTTGTGGTGGACCATGTAACTTCATTAGAAAACTTTATATTTTTATTAAAAATTATTATATGTAATTTAATTATAATTATATATAAGCACTGGACCACTGGTTCAACTGAGAAAACCTCAAAGAAGCAAAAAGAGTGATAGAGAGAGTAACGTAGCTGAGAAAGGCTACGTACAGTGGTACACGATACGAAGACGAAGATGAAGATTAATGCCACTGTGATTCCAGCTCCGAGAAAATCGGTGAAGAGAATGATGTTCGAAGCCATGGTTGGTTTTCTCTCACGCTTGTGTTTCGCTTCCGATGAAGACCCTCCCATGTACGAGGAAAGTGTCTCCGCCGACATGGACAGAGCAACACGCCGCAAAAACAAGAACGACAACAAACGTATATACGCCACCACGGACCACCATGTCTCAAATTAGAGAAGGACATAAAAGTTTTTGCGTTATCTGCTTGTCTTTTGGTTATGCTAGAAGGATAAAAATAATTTCAGAAATAGAAACCTCTGCTTTCTGATGTTGATTCAGTGCTGTGAGTCTAGTATTGCATAGGGTGAATATCATTCGTTTTGATATTTTTGTAACTTAATTAATTTTTAATATTAATAAATTCATAAAAGTTACTTTTACGAAATTAAATTAGATTAATATTTATTCTTTTGATATAATGTGTTCTTAATCTTGATTAAAAAAGTATTAATCACTACAAAAGTATATTATCGAAATGGATAAAAGATATTGGATGAAATATCCATCGAAATGATTAATCTTAAACCTTTGTAAAATCGTAACGCGTTTTCTGACGTAGAATTTGGTTTTGTGGCGGACTTGCATAATTCATGTGGGAGAGAGAGCGTGTGTTAGCCTTACCACCATGCTCAAATATTAATTTGAATTCTATAGAAATAATTGAATCAAAGTTCAATTAACTCACGGTTTAGAAAATTTACATTTTTGGATTGTGTTACGGTTTATCCTGGGTAAATAAATAAATTATTATTATACTACATAAAAAGGCGTTTTAGTGAGTGAAAATAGAGACCGAAAATATTTAAGTTTTGATGAAAAAAATGTATAACAATACAACTAATGATCAACATAATAAAAAAATATTGTATATTTGTCTGTTTTTTATATTTCAAGAAAATTCTAAACTACTTATTTTTTTCATGTACATTCTATAAGTGACTCATGTAATAATATTTGTATTATATAATTCATTGTACTTATTTAATTATAATTTCAGTTATATTGATATAAAAGTTAATGGAGGTTCTGTCACTATATCTTATATCTTGGATGACTTCAGTTATAAGTACAATTAGGAGTTATCCTATCATATAAATGTTCTAGGAAAGAATATGATTGTAAAACAATGTTTTTAATCAAGTATATTAAGTCATCTTAATGTGTTCTAGTTAGAAATGAGATTGTGAATTCAATTTTTTAACTAAGTGTACTTAAACATTAATTAATAGATGTTAGTCCCACACATTTTAAATCAATACAATTGATTCTTCTGAATGTTATTTGAGTTTATTTTAATTTTAGAAATTATAAAATAGAGCATGTAAATGTTTTGTGCATATGAGATTGATAGATGAATCCATAAAATACTTAAAATTTTAATTACATGATTTTTGTATAATTATCTTACCTTTTTCATTATATTATATTGTGTGTGTTTGATTTTACGATATTTTGACATGTGAGCATATATTATTTCATATACATAAGTCAATATTTTAGACAACAATTAAGATTAATCCAAATATATATAATATATATATATATATATATATATATATATATATTCTTTTTGATATATAATTTTAAATATATTTTTAAGAAATAATAAAATTAAAAAATATTTATTGTGATAAATATATTTATTTTTAATATTTTATTATAAAAATTAATAAAATTTCATATCATGGGTGAATTGAGAAAGTAAAGAATTAGGATTGCCGATTTATAAATGAAAACATTGGTTTTATTATAATTAAAAATTAGTTTTGACATAAAATACTGTTTGTATGTATTTATAAATCACATTATGTTAATTTGATTATAAATGTAGAGATGACATAATGAAATTAAAGAATTAATGAGACTATTTTGCTTACAACTTATTTTAAAAATCGATGTTTTAGTTATAATACGTAGATAGGAAAATGTCAATAATTTTTCATTAATGTGAAATTTAGTGGAGGTTTTATATTTTAATTGTAGTAATGAAATTGAATTTGTTACAATTTGATTATAAAAAAATTAATGATAAAATGAAAAAGAAATGTACTCTTGTAATAAGTTAATATTTTCTCAATAGTTAATATCTACTCAATAGATCTTGATTAATAATTTTGAAAAATCAAAATAATATATAATGATTAAATAAATAGAGTAATATATAAATGTGAAATAATAAAAAAATAGAGTATATTTAATTATTTATTTTATTATTTACGAGAAAAATTAAATGGAATCAAAACCATATATAATAATTTGTTTAGATTAATATATCTTCAAATACTTAAAAGAAAAATTCAAATGATTAAAATTATAAATATATAAATAATTTAAATATATTTGACATATCAAGAAGATCTGATGGATAAAAAAAAATCAAATTAATTTATTCATAACCAAAATTAATTTATAATTATCTCATATAATTTTCGAAATTTTTATTTTTAAGTTATATAGGAATTCACTTTTACTTTTAACTGATGAAAAAAATTTATTTTATTTTTTTCTTTTGTTTTCCTCATTTAGAAAGAGTTTTATCAAATAAATTTGTCAACAAATACTCTTGATTTGGTTCTTTACTTTACTCTTATTAATTTCTACAGAGAAGACAATGATAATAAAAACAGTCAATAATAAGATAATATTTAAATTTCAAACCAAGAGGTAAAATAGTTGTGTAATTATATTTCTTGTCAAGCAATCAAGAACTAAACATATTAATTTAAAACATTATCTTTTTTATATTTTATTAGTGAAATAAATCATTAAGCACCATCTATATCCCGTTTTAGCTATGATTAGATTTTAGGACTTTCAAGATTCAATTCATTAACTAAATTGGTTATCTAAGTTAATATATTATTCAATCTAATTCATATTTAATCATTAAATTAAGATTCAATCAATTTTTAATTTAATTCTAAAATTAGAAAGGTAATTTGGAAAGAAGAAAAAAACAAAATTAAAATAATAAATAATTAATGTAAAACTTGTTTAATCTTAATTTTATGAATTGATCATTAATAAAAATGTTCTTATGATTAAGAACACCAAACAATTTTTTTTAAAAGAAAAGAAATGATGAGAGGAAATGTAAAAATTGAATTTGAGAGAAATAAAAGAATAAAATAGACAATTTTTTAAACTGGAAACTTAGGAAAATAATTTCTCTATGTTTAAATCTCATTTAGACTATTTAAATTATCTAAAATATGATGCAAACATATAGGATTAAATGCAAACTTTAATTAGATGCATAAACCCAATAACAAAACATAAAGTTAATATAAATAAAATCTATTTTACAAAAATTTCAATAAATTTATCTCAATTTTAAAAAATCACAGAAAATATTAATGAAAAAATATTATAAATATTTTATTGAAATTATAAATTAATGAATGCAATATATTTAACATTTTTTATTGATTCCGATAATTAAATTTTAAAATAGAAATAAAAAAATATTTATGATCTCCATATATTAGAAAAATATTTGTAGAGACGATTTTTCACAAGTTTTGTTCAAAAATAAATAGTTGTTTGAGAAAGCGGCTTGATAGTTGTTGTTTTTTAAATTGTTTCAATGACAATTAATATTATAGATATATAAAAAAATTAAAATATCTCTAGGAAAAAAATATGTTAAATAATTCAGAAAAAAACATATTGTATTTTATTAGCCTAAAGAATATATATATATATAAGAAAAATTCACTCAATATATAAGTTATGATTTTTTTCTATTCAGCTTAATTTATCTATTTATTTTATAATTTGTCTATGTTTATATTCATTTTAGAGATTATTTTTTGTCATTGATGCATAAATTTTTAAGTTTAATTTATTCTTTGTTTTTTTTAAGTATATTTATAATTATTATTTTCTCTAAGTTTCTTTTTAATTTTATAATAGTTAGTATTAAGGTTTAATTGATGACTATATTTTATAGTTTCTATCTCATTAAACTAGAGGGTTTAGGCTTTAATTTTGCCAGATAAAGTACACTTGTCATCAAATGATGAAGTATTTATAAATGAAGCTTAATTATTTTTAAGATAATTATGTGTGTATATATATATATATATATATATATATATATATATATATATATATATATTGAAATTTTAAATAAAAATATTACAAGTACTAGTTAAAATTTAATATTTCAGATTATAAAATTAAACTAAAATTTATGAATTTGGTTATTACAATATTATTATAAATATTTTATTAAAACTATAAAATAGTAAATGCAATATATCTATCAATGTTTATTTATTAATTTTGACAGTAAAAAAATGAAACATTAACCTGCCACATATATTAAAAACACATTTTTGGTGATTGCGATTTTAAAATTTTGTTGAAATATTTTATCTTCACCATTTCCATAGCCTCGTAACTTTTATATTACGATAACATTAAAATTAGTAACCTCCATATTGGATTTATTTATAACACAGTTTGAAAGTGCTGCTTAAGAACTTTTCATGAATTTTTTGAACGAGAATTGTCATAATGATATAAAAATATTATAAAACTTAAATAAAAAAGGACAAGTATGAATTATTAATAAGAATATAAATGACACCTCCAGTAAAATAAAATTTGATTTTGTTGATACGTAAACTATGAAGCATTGAGTAGTGGCAGACATTGCCATTTGCAAATATTGTGAAGCATTGGTTGCATCACCATCATATGACACGCTTTTAACTTTAATTTCAAAGGTGAAACAATTAATGTTGTTAATCAATATATAGGATTTTTTTTGTTTTTAATCTTTAATTGGTCATTAAAGTCGTACTTTCTACCTTTATTTTAATATAATACATATTATGATTTTATTAATTTTTTTATCAATTATTATGTTCTACACAACAAATAATGATGGAATTAAATTTTTGAATTTAATTTCTAACATTTATTATCAGATATTCAACCAAGGTTTATTTCCCAGAACCTGATGTTTTAAAATAACATCCGTGGTTGGTGATAGTTTGGATGTTCTATTTACAATTTACACGCATATTTTTTACGGATTTGTCGTAGTCGAAAAATGAGTTATTATCGACGAAAATTATCGATGAATATAGAATTTGATCTTACCGACGGATATATCTGTCGATAAAAATAATAATTAGTTACCGACGGATATATTCGTCGGTAAAGTAACAATTATATATATCCATGGATAAATCCGTCGATAAATTAACAATTAATTACCGACAAATATATCCGTCAGTAAATTAACAATTATTTATCGACTGGATATTTCCATCGGTAAATTAACAATTAATTACTAACAGATATATCCGTCGGTAAAATTATATAAAATAAATTAATTATTCACCTAATTAAAAAATTAAATATTTTTTTATTTAATATTTTAATTTAATCATAATTAAATTAATTTATAATAATTTAAAAAATAAACATTTAATTATATATAAATATATAAATATAATTTATTTATAAATTATTATTGAAAAATTCTAATAGCTTAGTGATTGGAGTATTAGTTTCTAACTCTAAGATATTAGATTTGAATCTTGCCAATGACAATGCTCATAATCCGATAATAATTCAAAGTTATAAAAATATAATGGGGAAATAAATAATAATAAATATTAAAAATGTAAAGAAATAGGTTATAAAATAAGTAAAAATGCAATAAATAATAAAAATATTTAAATTCGTCGGTAATATCAACAACTCAATTTCAGATAAATTTTTGGCCATCGAAATTCGTCGGTTATATCTATTTACCGACGAATTTTTGTTATTATCGATGACCGTCATAATTTCAATATTTTTGTAGTGTGAGGTGATGAATTTGCGAGTGCTTCATTTGCAAGTGCTTCAGTCTTTTATGATTATTTTTTAATGATTCGTTAATATTCTTTGGTGATGCAATTTTTATATCAATATTAATATAACTAAACTTAAGAATAGGATTCAAAGAAAAAGTAAAAAAGAAAAAAAATTTAACTTTTATAATTTATCATTTGTTTGAAAGAATTTGTAATGTAATTGATCAAATATATACGAAATTTATTATCCTTTATCTATATTAATTACATATACTGTCACAATTATTAAAAAAAACTATTAAAGAATATATCAGTACATTATATAGCAACAACGTATATTAAATAAAATAGAGTGATAATCCACTTGATTAATTAATTAATTAATGAATGTCATGAAAGTAGTTAGATACAAGGAAGTAAGGGTTTGGAATTGGAATGATATTTTGTGGGAAACCATGTTGTCAAAGAAAACACGGTTTTGAATTCAAACTCGCATCTTTAGATTGTCATATTTTGTGAATTAAAAAAAACTTCAAATAGTATTTATGCTGCATACAACTTTGTCATTAAAAAAGTTATAAACATTACATTTGAAAATAAAAATTATAATTATTACATTTGAAAACTATAATCAATCATGTACTATAATCAAATTATTTAAGTTTAGTCAAACTTAAACTTAAATAGATATAAGAACTAAAACTTAAATATTAAATTTTAATAAAAAATATTTAATTCTTATAATTTAAATTATATTTAATATGCTTGGTTCAAGATACAGAAAACATGGTAGATTGTTCTGATCTGTTTCAGGCTCGGTCTACATAAGCTACATCTTAAACAAGTCGAATAAGTTCAGTTCATAATTTTTTTTTTCTATGTTTCTATTCAGTAACAAATTTACAGATAAATAAATTGGTCTGAGACCTAAATAATAATAAAAAAAAAAAAAAAACTATCGATTTAAAAGAAGTTTATTTATCTCTCCTTTTATTTATCAAGACAAAATTCAATAAACTAAAAGCTACCAAATTGAAAGATATTAAACTAAAATATACCAAAATAAATGAATATTGTTAAAAAAATATTCATTTTTTCATTCATTAAGATATAATCTATTTAAAAAAATATATTAAATTAGAATCTATAAGACTAAAATTTATCAAATGAAAAAAAAATTAAATTAAATTATTTTTTAATTAATTGCTTATTTATTTTTTTCATTCCAGAACATTAAAATTTCCAGTATGATGCAAATCGGTAGACTAACAAAATTGCCAAGTTTAACTTATCTATACTTACTGTTCGCATAAATTAACAGACAGTTGAAGTTGGTGGATTTTTTTACCAAAATGGTTAATTTTCTTTTTAATTTATCGAAATAGATAAATTTTAAAAAATTACAAATTTAAATAAATGGTACTATCAAAGAATTTATTATAAAAAAAATTGTGCTTTAACACCATTTCATTTTTTTTTAATTTTAAGAAAATCTTACTGTATAATACTATTTTTATATAAAATTTATATAATAATACGACTTTTATTATTATATTATATTATTATAATTAATAATAATAACTTATATATTATTAATAAATTAAATAATAATAAAAATTATATTATTAAAATGAATAATAAATATTATTATATTGTTAATAATTTTAAAATAATAGTATTAATAATAAAATAAAATAATATAATTATAATTATAATTATTAATAATATTATTATATTATTAATATAGATATCCTTATTATTTATTTTATTTTTAATTATAATAATAAATAATAAATAATAAATTTATAATAATTTATAATAATAATAAATAAATAATAAATTTATATTAATTTAATTATTATATTTTAACCATTATTATAATTTATAATATATTTAATTATTTTATATTTTATTTATATATATTTTTAATAAAATTATATGTGACAGCTTAATGTAAGAAATTTCCAATCAGCTTAGCATTTCGAATATTAAGTTTTTTTTTATATATATATAACTACATAAAAAACTAAAGCCCATATCATAAATTTATGGAATAAATTAAAACTCTGGGAAGGTAAATCTATTTATAAAAGCTCAAAATTAACTTATTGAGGAACATCAACATAACAGTTTATTCATATTATTTTAATTAAAATAAATAATGATGAATACTTTCATATTTATAATTATTATAATTTTTACAATAATAATATTAATACCATTTTATTTTATATTTATAATATTTATTATTATATTATTTTATTATTAAAAATATTAAAATAATAATAATATGATAATTATTAATTTTAAATAATAATACAATATAATATTATTATTTTATTTTATTAATAGTATATAAAATTAATAATATAATAATAAATATAGCATAATTTTTGTTAAATGTTAAAAAAATTAAAATCTTAATTAAAAAACAAAAATTGTATTGTATCCGTACAAAAGTGACAACGGTTGGTAGACACATTTCCATCATATACTATGCCTACCTATAGGCTATATGCTGACAAAATATTTAATTTATTTGTGTCCAACATTATTCACTGTTCGTTACGCGCTAAGTGTCAATATCTTTCTTCCTCCCATGAGATCATAGGATTCAGACCCACTACTTGGTAATCCCATGTTTGTGGGTCTAAACCACACAACAATGAGTGAAACTCAGAGTCAAGACGATGAAGGATCAAAACCACTGTATGGAGCTTCTAGTTCGGCCACTGGGTCTGGAACAGCGACCTTCGTGAGGGGCACCAAACCCATCAAGCTTCCAAAGAGGGGTGGTGTGATGAAACAGATTCTGAATGACGTCAGTGCCACGTGGAGATCTCCGTCCCCTGAACCTGCTGTATAATGAATAAGAAACCTATCTGAATTAGTGATAATGATGATATATTTGTAGATCACTATATTGATTTTATGGTATTTTACCTGAAGATCAACTGTATTTCTCTATTGATTTTCTTTCTTAGTGGAGATAGAAAGAAAAGATCAGGAATGAAACTTACGTTCTATTTACGTGTTCTCAGAAGAGGACCATGATTCCTTAAAATAATTAGAATTAAGTTAATTACTTAAGTTTTAATATTTCTAATTTGATCCCTCGTCAAATTAAAAATTGTTCTAAAGTCTCTACATAATTTTATTTTCATCACATATGTCTTTAGTCAAACTTTTTAATTTAGTCATATTACTTTACTATTTGGCTAATAATAATATATATATATATATATATATATATATATATATATATATATATATATATATATATAGTGATGAACTAAATTTTGACAACATAATTAACATGTTTGTGCTTCCTTTTGGTTTGTTCTTGTTTTTGTCCATAAGAAAGTGGAAGTCATTTTCTGGGTAGGTTTGAAGCATGTGATAATAATGGCAAAGAGTTTAATTACTTACTTTTAGTAAAATCTCTCTTTTTAATCCTATTATTTAAACCTTGCTTAAATGTATTAATCCTTTGTCATCTAAAGTTGGTTTGAGATATCTATATCTATATCTATATATATATATATATATATATATATATATATATATATATATACATAAAGATGAAGTATTAATTGCAGAATTTTCAAGTTGAGAAGAGAGATGAAATTCAATATAAGTTTTAAATATAAAACTTTTAATTTACCAACTTTTGAGAATCTTTTATCTATGTTCTTTGTTTCTAAGACTTTAAACAGAACATGAAAATTTCTGGCTTGTAGCATGTGTCATTGAAGAGAACCCAAATAATCTGGGAATCGATAGATTACTGATATAATTAGATATTTGCGTTTTTAACTATCAAATTTACGTGGATAATTTTTCTCTCCTTTTCTCTAACTCCAGCACCAACATTATTAGATGTTCCATACGACATTTTTTTGTATGCTTAGTGGTCAATTCCTTGGTGTTGAAATTAGAGAGAGGTTTTAGGTTTACGTGGGGCAAACGCTCCAATCCATGAAAAACAGATAAACTTGGGCCTGAAACTTGAAAAATAGGTTTGTGTAAATGGCCCAAGTTAACACCCTACATGGTCTTAATTAACCATATTAAAAAAATAATTATAATTCTAATAACATGTTTCTAATATATTTTGATGAGAAAGTGAATTAAATGTAAAGTTTATTGAGTATAGAAAAATATAACGAAGAGTATATAAAAAGATACAGCCTTGGGTCATATAATATGACTGTGTTCGAAAGAAAAAGGTTAAAATTTGAAAAACTAGTTGGTAGAACTTAAATTAAGGGGAAAATATATGTTTTTTTTTATTTTTTAAATTGTCTTTGAAATAATGTGATTTTGTCTTATATATATATATATATATATACACACACACACACACACTTACTGTTTAACAAATTTTTATGATCATAAAGTTAATAAAATATAAAATTAACAAATAATATTTGATTTTATTATTTAAGAATGTATAATTTTTAAGACTTTCTAAAATAATTAGAAGATATGCAATAGATTAAATGCCTATATATCCAAGTAATTCAAACTGTTTTGAGCGCAACACAAAACTCATAATTCAATTAAATTTTGTTTTCAAATTGGGTTAATCAGGTACACTTTTTTTTTGTTATTCCTAATTTAATTCAACCTGTCCTTAATTAGTTTGGATTATGCTTAATCAATCGGATACTTATTTTTAGTAAACTTTGCTATTTAAAAATAAGTTTTTTGATTTTTTAGAATATATATTTTTTAAAATAGATTATATTATTTAATATTTGAATAATTTAATATTTAAAAATATTTAATTAATAAAATAATAATTATATTAATATTATTATTTTTAATATTAATATTATTTTATATTTTTGATGTTAAATTTGAGATTTAATATAAAAATTCCGTAGTTAGGTCGAGTTGAGATTTAATCTAATCATTAACCTATTTACTAACAATTTATTTTAATTAGATCAGGTGAATACAGAGTGATATTACCGAATCACACGATGAAATAATTGTACAAAAAAATTAGTGTTGGTCCCAAAATGGGTTATGTTCAAGTTTCCGAACCACTACCTAATTGGACCAAAACAAACGCATAGTACAATTGTACCTCCAATTTGTTCTCCATTTTTTTTTTAATTTTAACCCAAAATCCACTTATGAAGAAGTGTTTGATGTGTTGAATATATGAGTGAACGAATATTGTGAGTTCGATTTTTTTATGACAGAAATAATTTTTTTGAGATTTTATTAATCTTTCATGACACTGTCTCGGATTCCACTCTAAAGGTTTTCTCGTTTGTTTGGAAGTGGTTTACGGTAGCACTTTTCCATGTCTCAACTCTACAAATACATGCCACTCCTTGGCCTTTGTGTTCTATCTCCACCAAGCCACACTCTTGTTATTTTCTTGTGTAACTTCTTTCCTTATTAAACCTACAATTTCTCATCATGGATTCGGGTTTCTGCTTGGTCTCATCCCTGAACCACCAAGAAGTTCAAAGCCGTTTCTTCGACCCCTCTTGGCTTCAAATGCAGTCCCACGTTCCCATGAGCTTCGTTTGGCCGAAGGAGTGTGTAGTGGACGCGAACGAGGAGTTCCAAGCCCCAATGGTGGACCTTGGAGGGTTCCTGAGGGGTGATGAAGAGGCCACACAAGTTGCCGTTAAGCTCATACGCAAGGCATGCTCGAGCCACGGGTTCTTCCAAGTGATCAACCACGGGGTTGATCCTCTCCTCATTGGTGAAGCGTATGATCAAATGGATGCATTTTTTAAGCTCCCAATCAACAGAAAAGTTAGTGTTCGTAAGACTCCGGGTTCTGTCTGGGGCTATTCTGGTGCACATGCTGACCGTTTCTCCTCCAAATTGCCTTGGAAAGAAACCCTCTCTTTCCCCTTCCATGACAACAATACCTTAGAGCCTGTTGTCACTAGCTTCTTCAACTCCACCTTAGGAGAAGACTTTGAACAAGCTGGGTAAGACACAGTTTTTGGTTGAATATATATATATATATATATATATATATATATATATATATATATATATATATATATATATATATATATATATCAGTTCATTTTCTGTTCATGCTGTGGAGTCTCTTCATTTAATTTACGCTTCTTTACAACATTTGAATCCTTAATATTTGGTTAAGAGAATCGAGCTCTCGAAGTATTAGAGAAATAACCTGAACCATTATGATTGTGTTTAAATGCACCTAGGCTACATGTTATGAAATTATTGGAGTCTTAGTTTATTATCTTTTAATCAACCTGTTATTATATTTTTAAGAAAGACGTGTGAGTTAGTATTAAATGGTTTTCATTCTATACGAATGCCAGCATGGTGCATGTTCACCCAATTAGTACTACATATATATATATATATATATTTTCTTTTCTTATCACGTCTTGTCAATATTACATTTATAGCTTGTTTGGTTGTGCGTCATTTCAGAGAAGATTCACGTTTCATTCTCACATCTGGATAAAAGCTAGTTGATCTGTATAGCTTCTGAATTTTACCTCTCTGATCCACTATTCTCTCTTTCTCCTTTCGGTATAAAATTGGCACATGATATTCTTGAATGATTTAAATATCCATGAAGTGTGTTTTCGGCCCAAACTTGTTTTATATACTCTTAATTTTTACTTAAATTTTTAAAAAGGTATTAATCCTTATTCATGCTGAATAGCTTTGTCGTATTAATACATCTTCCTCACCTTACGTTTTTCATAAAGTTGTGAATTTCATATGCACAGAACAAACCATATGTTTAAGAATTCAACTGACTATGCCAAGTACTGGTTTGTTGTGCATTGGGCAGAGTGGTATTCCAAAAGTACTGTGAATCCATGAAGGAGTTGGGGATGAAGCTGTTGGAGCTTTTGGCTATTAGCTTGGGAGTGGATAAGTTGCATTATAAGGAGTTGTTTGAAGAAGGTTGTTCTGTAATGAGATGCAACTTCTACCCCTCATGCCAGCAGCCAAGTCTTGCACTAGGAACAGGACCACACTGTGACCCAACATCTCTCACCATTCTTCACCAAGACCAAGTTGGGGGGCTCGATGTGTTTGCAGACAACACCTGGCAGACGGTTCCACCACATCCTCATGCTCTTGTAGTTAACATTGGTGATACTTTCACGGTGCGTTACATATGCATAATAGTTACAAATGTTCTGTGTTTGCATATCTTACTTTGTGACTTTGTGGCTATCAATTACTGTCGACCCTGGCCTCATTATCTGTTACAACATGACAAATCCGTCATTAAAAGCGCAGATATACTATGCTGTATCAAGATTGGTTTGCAGATTGTCTGACATGATGACTCTTTATACTCATTGCATGAATGCATCATCTGCATATGAAAAGATTAAACTCACGTAATTTTGCATGACATAAAAATGGGTGTTTGAGTAGCTGCACAACCAAACTATATATACCTATCATGGAGTTATAAGAGAAAAATTTTGGCCCTTTACGAGTATATATGAATATATTGTTTGAAATGATTATTTAACTTCCGAAATAAAAATGTTTTTACACCAGTCAAGAAGGAATTATGTAATTTTTCTTGATTAATGTTTCTCTTTTTGGTTTTGTATATATTTGATGCAATTCTTTTTCCCATTTTTTCTGAAGAATATTTTTCTTTATTATCCCACTGCATAATGCTTAGACAAAGCAACACATGAACATCCATATGCTGTTTCCTTAATCCTATTTTTTGGCCAACAAACTTCATACCTCATAAGAGAAAGAAAAAACAAGCAATCGATGTATTTTTGGTTTAAAGTTTCCTTCCTATATATTATGACAACTGTTGATTAAGAAAAAGATTGTTTGTAATACGGTTAAAAGAAGAATCGTTTTTTTTTTCACAAAGTCTAGACCAAGGAATAAAAGCAGTGAGTGCCAAAACTATCTGATGACATGATTAACATAAGTTAAGGTGAGCATCAGAAAGCAATAGGAAACGGTCAAGAGTAGACAGCAAAGAAGTTGGAGTTGCATGTATGTAAGGGAAACCCTTAAAATGACAAACTAGGGGTTGGAAGTCACGACAGGGAAGAAAATATTCGAATAAAGTTGAACACATACTTGTATTCCATATATGGAGGTGATGAGAGGGAGTTTTAGATGATATAAGAATGTGGTTTAGATTAGAAAAGGAATCATCATGTGCATGGAGGTTAACTTATTTGTTGGTTGTTCAGGCATTATCAAATGGGAGATACAAAAGTTGCCTGCATAGGGCAGTGGTTAACAAGTACAAAGAGAGGAGGTCCTTGGCATTCTTTCTGTGCCCGAAAGAGGACAAGGTGGTGAGAGCCCCAGAGGATATTGTGCGTAGGGATGGGACAAAACAGTATCCAGATTTCACATGGTCCAATTTGCTTGAATTCACACAAAAGTACTACAGAGCCGACGAAGCTACACTGCAAAACTTCATCAAGTGGTTGCTATCCTCCAAACAACAAACCCTTTAAGTTAACCAACAAATAGATTCTGTTCTGCACCTTTGCTTTTCTAGAGGTTGAGACTCACTGCTGCATTAAATTGCTCCCTGTACTTTTCCTACACTCCAAAACCTTCATTTTTTATGTAGCTTAATTCCCACGTACGGCATGTTTCAATTTATTGCCAGTAACTTTATGGTGCCTTATTATATATTCATCTTTGCAATGCAACTAAAATGGTTTAAATGCATGCATTACTTGTTTCGTTTCCTTTCGATTCTGTAGCGAGTAACTATTCCACATATCATAGTTTAATGAAGTAACTGGTAAATATCTGTTATTTTGTTACTCTGGGTAAAAAAATATTGTTTCTTCTTATTAATTACACTACACCCATATAACTTCATTTCTCTGATCTATCCTCCATTTCCATCCTGAAAAGCTCAGGTTCACGTACAGTTTTCTTTCTTGCTTCCACTAAAGCATGCTAGAAATCAAAACTGCACGGCTTTCCGAATTTCAATGGCCATTTCTTAAAACTAAAGTTTAATTGTACTTTTTATTTATAATTTATTATTATTATTTTTAAATTTTGTCTTTTACCCTTTTGATTAATTTTTTTTCCTTAACTTTTATGGTGTTACAAATTTTCTCCTTCCATAGTATTTTTATTACGGTTTAAACTGTGCTAACACTTTTGTTTTAATGATTTGAAAGTGTCAATAAAGGTATGCATTTAACTTAATTATTTTTAAGGGTCACTATTAATAATCTTGTTTTATTTTAATAATCACTCACATCTCACTTAAAACTAGTAGAAAACTGTATCAATGAACAAATTCAAAATAAAATTTATGAACAATGATGGCTAAAGTTGCTTTTTGTTAAAACAATTATTTTAAGTACACATTTATCGTAATTCAGATCCAAACATAAGAATGAAAACGGGTGGTGACGAACAAATATAGTAACTATTTATTATCAATCCCCTAAAAATAATTGTTCCATTATCCATTGGATACCCATATCGGGTACCTAGATATCCATGAACTTAAAAAAAAATATGTATATTTTAAATAAAATCATCTACTTATCTCCAAAAGTGAACTTCGAATAAATTACACTCAAAATTATAAATCCAAATAGAATTATATCCTAAAATATAAGTAGAAATAAATAGTATCTCAAACATAAATTCAAATAAATAATACTTAATATATATATATATATATATTATTTTATAGACAACATAATATTTTGTATCATTTTAGGGTTTTTAATTAATTTTGAAGTTGGCACACTTTTGTTTTTTAATTTGAAACTCAAACTTTTTGTTTGCAGAGATAAAACATTTTATTAAAAATAAATAAACAGTATAATAGTAACTAATAATATAACATTAAAGGGAGAACTTGATTAGAATGAATAGTATATTATCAAATGATTCAAGAAATAAGAAATTTCACTAGTATTATGAGGTGAAAAATGAAAAAGTCTCATAAACTCAAAAGCTAAAGTATTGTATAAATTAATAATAATGAGATAAACTTATTTCCCAAACACCTTTATTTTGGTGAAATAAGCATAACCCTAATCATATAAAGTAAAGGTTAACTACAATGACTTGGCACAATTGTACTAGGAATAATTATTTGTTGACACGTGACCGTTGTACTTGTGGTTGGGTAGAAGAGTGTTATATCTTTCAAAGTGTTCCTTTGGATGTGGTTCAGCAACTAGATAAGGTTGGCTTAAAACTCAAGTAGGAGGAACCATCCATATATTTCTTATGGGTGTATTCATCCTCTTTGGTATGTAAGTGGATGGCCTTTTTTGTATTTTTTTCCATTGTTTGGATTCGGGTTAGAAAACTTTCTCCGCTTTTTTCTTAATCTCTTTAACACTCTTGATCTATTTCTAAGTCTGCTTTTCTATCACACCATATAATAAAATTATGCATGTATTTTTCTCTTTTTTATCTCTATTAGGTTTGTTTTTCACTTATATATGATGATGTTTAACTTTCTGCTTTCTACTGAACTTGGATTCAAATAAATGTTGAACTCTTGCAGATGTAATATGACACAATTTTTTGTCAAGTTATGCAGAAACGGTGGGTAAAATATGTGGACGTACGTAGGCATTGATGGAATGCATGTATAAATTTATTGTAAAAGGACATGAGTAGCAAGCAAAGACAAAAGAAAAATGAGAAGGGTGGATATTTCTTGGCAGACAGAAGACAAACACTATAAATGATAAGCTGAAAACAAATGAAAACACACACGCTTTACATCCTTGTGAAAAGAACCAGTCGAGTCTTTTGTCACTCGTCTAAGTACTTGAGATTTCATAAATAAATTGAGAGCATGATGTTTCATTCTCAAGGTTTCCTTAATAAATGTCTAAGTTTTCCCACAGTTTTCACCTCATTCCAAAGAACCGTACCAGAAATTGGAGGAACGAAAAGACAGAAGTGTGTGAAAGAAACAACCAAATAGAGGTGAAGATGAGGACATTGCTAAGGACAAGCAACAGTAATTGGTTGGTATGTCATGGATCAGGTGGATGATATACAACCATAGACAAACAACCATATTTGTTGGGATTGAAAGATTGTGGATTGGAGGAAGGAAATTTTTGAAGGAGTGGGGTAGGGCTTAGTACCTCACCGTTTAAAAGAACCATGTATTTAATATTTCCATGGACCACTTTGCATTTTGCATAATAATTTCATAGAAAAAGAGAACTGACCCTATACTATTTGGAGCATGTTTCCTTTGTCCCATGTCGTCGAAATTGTAGGAAAATGTTGGGAGAAACATTTGTATTATAGCTAGCAAATTAGCCTTTTCACTTTGAAGAAACTGATATATGTATATATATGTGAAGGCTAAGATGTCAACAGTTCCGAGGTCTTGGTCAATATCCGTGTCATTCATGAACAGATGAATTTTGTTCAATTCTGTAGATGCTGCATCCTGTCATCGATTTCTGCCTGTGAATGTACAGACAACGTGAATTCAAGTTCTCAATTCTAGAAAGAAAAGGATTCTTGATATGAACAACTTGTTGAGGTTCAAACACTGTACATGTGTAAGTATTATGAATTGATGCGCGTGATAGTGGTTAGAGTGCGCTGAATATTGTGTACCATTGCAATGAAAGTGTTCTTAAATAAACCTGGTGAGGAGCTCTGAACCATAGGGTTAGAGTGCGCTGTCATCCATGAATATTATAAAGAGATAATGAAATTATTCGATTATGTGTGCGTGCCATAATAGAGATAAATTTTGCAGTCCATGAAATCTCTGAACCATAGGGTGATGAAATGATTTGTATATATTCATTGTGTGAAGGTTCCTTACATTGAGTGATTACACCTAAAATGTGGGTAGAAATCTTATAGCTCATTCCCTTCCCTTTGCTTTTACACAAGATATACAAAAATTGAAAACAAGAGAAAGGAACCAAAAGGGATGAAAAAAATGTTTTTAGGACGCAAAGCCACGTATGCATACACCATGAAGACCCCTACCATTTGAAGGTCACTCCTTTGGAAAGAAGCTCATCTCTCTCTCTCTCTCTCTCTCTCTCTCTCTCATCTATCTATATATATATATATATATATATATATATATATATATATATATATATATATATATATATATATATATATATATATATATATAATAGGTTCGGAAATAACCCCCACCAAAACTAACCGTTTTGTCATCCTATGTCTAGTTCTAATTGAGTGCGTCCAATGCCTTGTTTATGCGTTCAAGTGCATTGAGTCAAGCATTTTCTTAAGGAACCTTTCATATATCATTCTATATTCATTCAAACCTTCTCACAGATCCTTTACTTTTCAAAGTTTACGTGTTTGTGCTGCTACACTATCATATCTTCACTGTAGATAAAGAATTGGGAAGATGAATTGTATCCGTTGATTTGTGAATAAATATGAAACGAAAGTTTATTGGACTCCGCAGACAAAATAACACCTTTAATCTTGTAAAAAATGAAGAGAAAGTCGTACTTTGTCCATAGGTGGTGTCAATATAAATTAGAAATGTCAAACGATTATTACCTTTTTACATAAAAGATCATTATTAAGATTGGAATATACTTGCAATTTATTGTATTAAAACATATAAAAAAATTTTACTTGTAATTTTTTAAAATAATTCCTACAATTTGATATTGCTTATAAATTATCATAAAAACTATAAATTATAAATTATAAATATATCTATAAAATAATATAAGTTTATTTTTTATATTTATTTTATTAAATAACTATTTCATATTAAATCTTATCTAAATTTTAATTATATGTATTCTTATTAAATTTATATTAAAAATATTTTGATCTTTTATTACTTTATCTTATTATTTAATTTATTTTAATAACTCAAATCAATCTTATTATATATTTTTACTTATTTATTTCACCTTTCTTCAATCCAAACAATTTTGTTCTTCTTTCTTCTTCTATTCCCTCGACCCAAAATCACGATCCAAAATCAGGTTAAGTGAGCATGTTAATTTTGTTAAATTTATGTATTTGTTTTGCTTTTAAAATTAAAGGAAATTAATTTTAACAGAGCTAAATCTTTTAAAATTTAAATACAAATTAAATATGTATCCAAATTTTAATTTCAAACTTTTCATCAATATATATAATGATAAAAACAAATGAAGAGTATGCAGGTACCAAGTCTCGGTCAAGGGTTAAGAAATATAAAATTAAACATAATAATTAATAACAAAACGTTGCCATATATCATAATATAAAACAATAATAATGGATATAATTAATTATATACATTAACCAGTGGATACATCGATCTATCCTTTGACAACGATCAACATGTAAAAAAATATAAAAAATATCAAATAACATACATAGTACGTATTTGTCGAGTATCCACATGTCAATTTCCAATTTTGACATATATACATAACCATAAAAGAAATTTATCATAAAAGAATCAACTTGTTTACACCTTTCATGTGTTGACATGTTAAAATATGTATCATGGGTGGTAAAAGAAATAATATAGACCATATGGATGCCAAGCCTGTCCTTTGAACATGTCCACCCTCTATTACCTTCTCGTATGATATTAAATATGTTTGCTTGACTAAACCATAAGCTAACTTAAAAAGAAAAAAATAATTGTTTCTTAATTCTCATTTTTAATTTATCCACAAACTAACTTTAATGAAGCTAAAGTAATGTTATACTTTTCTCTACTATTAAAAAAATGTTTATCTTAATCGGCACATAATATTTAATAAGATTCAATAAGAAAAAATTAAAATTATTTTGTAAATATTTCTTCATATAACTTTTCTAAAAAAAATTATAAATTTATTTAAATATGTTCCTCCTAAATATTCAAATCCATCTCATTTCCCTTACAAGTTGAAGTTTTAATACTAAGTTGTTTCTCTTAATTCATCAAAACGTGTTTTAAGGAAAAAAAAATCCAATTCATTCTTTAAAACAGGCAATCCCTACAAAGTCAATATGCAGACTTATTTTTAATTTTCTTCAATCCATGGTGATCTGACTGGTCTATCAAAATCGTCATGCCATAAATTGAGGTCGTAAAAGAACGAGCAACACCACTTGATTGTTTCAGAAGGGCTTCAAATACTTTAGAAGGAGGAATCTTCTAAGTGCGTGTTTGTTTTGCAGTTGAAAGAGTCCAAACCCCAGTTCAAAGCTTTCCACCAAAACACATGATTTTCTGTTTGAGTATATATATTTAAAGCAGTGAAAAACCTTCAGATCAAACACAACATAAGTTTTGTATACATATTGAGCGTGTATATGGCAACCATGGGATGGAAGGCCACGCAGAAGCAACTGACCAGACTGACCGTGGTGTTACTGATGGCGTTAGCAGCCGCCGGCCAAGCCCTGCCGGGCTGCCCTGACTCCTGCGGTGGTGTTTCATCAATTCCGTATCCATTTGGCGTGGGCTATTCATCCGTCACGGGTGAAAAGTGTTTCTTGGAGGAAACATTGGAGCTTACATGCAGAAACTCCACCTTATATCACGGTGGTGGTAACGTCCAAATTCTGAACATAAGCCTCGCTGGTAAAATGGACATGCTCATCTTCACCTCGAACGCGTGCAAAAACGAACGTTTGGGTGCAGTCGAAACATTTGGTAACCTATGCAGTCTCGAAACACCGGCTTTCGCAATTTCTAGCGAGGACAACAAGTTCGTAAGCGTAGGGTGCGACTCTTACGGCTATCTCAATAGTTACCGCAACGGTACAGGATCTTCAACGGGGTGCTTGACGAGATGCAACAGCTTAGAGAGCGTTGAAATCATGCAGAGAAGCGGAAACTGCACGGGCATAGGGTGCTGCCAAGTGGATATACCTCCTGGGATGAAGAACATTAGTTTCCAAGCCTTCACCTTCAACAATTTCAATTCCACTTCTGATTTCAACAAGTGTGGCTACTCCTTTGTGGTGAAAAACGGCAACTATACTTTCTCCCTGGATCATTTAGACCAACTCCCATTCTCCATGGCACCCCTTGTCGTGGATTGGAGCGTTAGAAACGACACGTGTGACGCTTCCATGAGTAGAGCCGATTATGCATGCAAGAGTAATAGCCATTGTGAGAACTCGCCCTTTGGATATGGTTATCGATGCAAGTGTAATCCAGGCTTTCAGGGAAACCCCTACCTTCCCGATGGTTGCCAAGGTAATTAATTATAATAACTAGTTAATTATGCTAAACATTAATAGCATGTTAGACAAATTAATAAAAAAAATCAGATTTTTTTTATGAGCTAATATACTAATTAAGTGCAATGATTAATTTGAATATACTAATTTACAATACTATAAATCATGGCCGGCCGTTGATATATATATAGTATGATGGGTTGACTTGTACTTTGTCTTTTGAGATTTAATGAACATCATAATAATTGTTATTTCAATTACATTATAATCACAACAATTGTTATAATCACAACAATTATTTGTGTTTGACCTTCGTAGACATTTTGGAATGTAAAAGTAACCAACACAACTGCGCAAGTCAAGATTATTGTCGTGAAACTCCCGGCTCTTTTGAATGTTTCTGTCCCGATGGACTCATCGGAAATGGAACAACAGAAGGCGGAGGATGTCGACAAAAGCACCGGCCTGATCCATTTGTCAAGATCGTCATTGGTAAGCAATTGTGTTATTCATATTTCACCTTTGTTAAAACGCTAATAATTTCCTTTTAAAAAGTATATAATTTCAATACATAATTGGTTTATTCATATTTTGATAACAGGCGCAGGTGCAGGATTAATCGCTCTCTTTATTGGGGTTTCTTGGCTATACTTGATGTACCAGAAAAGAAAGCTCCTCAAATTAAAGGAGAAATTCTTTCAGCAGAATGGGGGCATCATTCTCAGACAGCAACTCTCTACAAGACAAGACTCCTCTCAATCCACTACAATTTTCAGTGCCGAGCAACTTAAGAGAGCCACCAATGATTTTGATGAGAACTTAATCATCGGTAAAGGAGGTTTTGGTACAGTTTTCAAAGGAGTTCTCTCAAATAATAATGTTGTTGCTATAAAAAAGTCCAAAATAGTGGATCAGAGCCAGGTGGAGCAGTTCATTAATGAGGTCATTATACTGTCACAAATTAATCACAGGAATGTGGTCAAACTCTTGGGTTGTTGTCTAGAGACAGAAGTTCCTTTACTGGTCTATGAATTTGTTAATCATGGAACCCTTTTTGATTATATACATAATCAAGATCAGAAGGCTAATGTGTGCTGGAAAACGCGTCTAAGGATTGCCACGGAGGCAGCTGCAGCTCTGGCTTATCTACACTCAGCAGCTTCCATACCCATCATCCACAGAGATGTGAAGACTGCCAACATACTCTTAGATGACACTTACACTGCCAAAGTGTCTGACTTCGGAGCTTCAAGATTGGTTCCACTTGACCAAACTGAAATAGCCACAATTGTGCAAGGAACCTTTGGCTATTTAGACCCAGAGTACATGCAATCAAGCCAATTGACCGAAAAAAGTGATGTCTATAGCTTCGGGGTAGTGCTTGTAGAATTGCTAACAGGGGAGAAACCTTTCTCTTTTGACAGGGCAGAAGAGAAACGAAGTCTTACGGTTCACTTTCTATGTAGTTTGAAAGAGGATCGTCTTTTTGAAATTCTTCAGATTGGTATTTTGCATAAAGAAAATAAGCAGGAGATTATGGAGGTTGCTGTTCTTGCTGCCAGGTGCTTGAGACTTAGAGGGGAGGAAAGGCCTAGCATGAAGGAAGTGGCAATGGAATTGGAGGGAATAAGGCTTATGGAGAAACATCCTTGGATCAACAATACAGGCCAAAATTTTGAGGAGAGTCAATACTTGCTTGGTGAGGCACAAAGCACTCGTGAACATGGTGACAGTAGTAGCCAACAAAATACTGGATATGATAGCTTGAGACAACTCGAGTTAATTGACTTCGGTAAAGGAAGATGATCATCAACTCACTGCACAACAATATGCATTCCCACTTCAGTCTATTTCAATGTACAACATATTTCTACTTTTTATTTGATGTAGTTAGCATGGTAATAATTCGAACAAGGAATTCTGTTTATGTTCAAATAAAAGTCCCACTATTAGAAAACTAATTTTTTTATGCCAATTTCCTTATAAAAAATTATTTAAATTGGTAGAAAAACTTATTTTTTACAATTTTTACAAAAAATTTACAAAAATATTTTCATGAAAAATAAGAATTTTTAGTGGTATCTTTAAAAAATACCTTAAGACACTTTTTTCTAGAGTACTCGTACCCCGTCGTAGATTTATATTTTATAATATTCCTTTTAACTCTCCATATTTTGAGTTGGCAGTTATATATAGTGGTTTGTTAGGTATGGTACTTCCACTATTTTGGTGGGATCACACTTACTCGCTTGTTTTGAGGAATATTGAGGAATGGGGTATTGTGGTTGGTCCATGACCACCAATAAACGTTAGTCATTGACGTGTAATATAACAACATACCGTTCATCAGTCTTAAGTCGAACATATATTAGATCAATCGGTCATGTTCGATGAATAATATGAATTCTTAATTTTAGTCTATCAACTAATAGAATATATTTTTGATAAGTGGACCAAATATTATAAAAATAACCATTTTATCGTTTTCATGGATTGAATATTTGTTGAATATCAAAATATTAATTTTTCCTAAGTTTGAGTAATCAAAGTTTAAAAGAATGATAACAAAAAAGTTATTTTTTATTTTTTTTACAGTAAAATATATGCTAGAAGATTAATTTCATATTCTTCTTATAAATTTCTAGCCTATTTAATTGATGCAAGAATTAAATTTACCCACTAGAGTTAAAAGTGCTATTCACTTTCTAATCCTTTAGGTAAGTAAAAGTATTCACTAAACTTTTAATTTCTCAATCCTTGGAAGAAGAAAAATTCACTATGTTGGGAAAAATATGCTGAATCTTCCCATATGGTCAGATCTGTGAAAGTGAAATAAAAACGGAATAATTGCACACACAAGTTGATAACGGAGTTCGGCCAATAATGCCTACGTCTCCGGACTACTACAGATCTCTTTCTGGGAGAAAAGAAAATACACAAGTGTTTACAAAACACTCTCAAAGCACTCACAACTCACAACCCAATTACACCCAGAAGCTAAACTAAAACTCTCTTGTTTTTCTGCCTCTCACTGGTGCCACTCTTTCTTCTCTAAGAGAAGTAGTATTTTGTGTGGGATGGGATGCTCTTGCTTGTAGGAAGAAGACCAATTTATAGCAAAAAATTGGCACTATGCATTACATTAAAATATGTCCCATGAGCACCTCATGGTTACATAAAAAATTTGGCAGCCACCCTTGCCCACTTTCTTTGACCAATTGCGACCACCCTTGCCCACTTTCTTTGACCAACAATCTCCCACTTGAGGACCGATTTCAATTTGTCCTCACACCTTGATCAATAGTAGTCTTCTCTTGTGCGTTATCCTTGTAAGCTAAGCTGAAGTTGAGCATAACTTCGGTTTGTCAATAGTCACCACCTTTGTTAGCATATCTCGCTGGGTTCTTACTTCCCACAATTTTCTTCAATGTTAGCATCTCATCCTCAAGTAGAGATCTGATGAAATGATAACGTATGTCGATGTGTTTGGTTCGGAGTGAAATGCTGAATTTTTTGCCGGATGTATTGCACTTCGACTATCACTGTGCAAAACACTCCTTTCTTGAATGAATCCCAACTACGCCAACAATCCTTGAAGCCATATCAATTCTTTGCTGGCTTCATCACTGCTACATACTCGGCCTCTGTAGTGGATAAAGTAACAATCTTACGTATCCGTGACATCCAACTAACAGCTGTAGTTCCAACGAGTAAACACATACCCAGTGGTGCTTCTTCGGTGATCAACTTCACCTCCAAAGTCCGCATCTACGTAGCCACTGCAATTTTAGATCTCCTTTTCTAAAATACGGACATTTTTCGTTGTGCCTCGTAGATACCTCGGAATCCATTTGACTGCTTCCCAATGAGCTTTTCCTGGATTTGACATGAATCGCTTACAACTCCCATTGCATGGCCAATGTCCGGCCTCGTACGGACCATCGCGTACATCAAACTTCCAATGGCTGAAGCATACGGAATCTTAGCCATTAACTCTTCTTCTTCCTTCGTTTGAGGAGGCTGATCCTTGGATAGACGAAAATGGCAAGCCAAAGGTGTATTGAGCTGGTTTGGCATTGTCCATGTTGAATCTCTCGCAAAACACGGTTGATGTACTCCGCTTGAGATAAGCTGCAAAACTCCTTTTGCTTATCTCTCGTGATTTGCATTCCAAGAATCTTCTTTCTTGGGCCTAAGTCCTTCATGTCAAATTCTTTTGACAAGCTGCTTCTTTAAGTTTATGATCTCATTCATATCTCGAACCTGCTTACTAGCATATCATCAACATAAAGTAGCAAAATGATATAACTGGACTTATACCTTTTGAAGAAACAACGGTGATCGAGCGTTGCACTTCGGAAACTCTCCTTGTGCATGAAGCTTTCGAACTTCTTATACCACTGTCTTGGAGCTTGTTTCGAGGCCATACAAGCTCTTTTTCAATCTGCACACCAAGTTCTTCTTTCCTTCCGAAAAACCTTCAGGCTGGTGCATGTAGATCTCCTCATCTAAATCTCCATGAAGAAATGCGGTCTTCACATCTAATTGCTCTAGGTAGAGCTCCTCACTAGCCACAATACTTAACACGATCCTGATAGTATTGAGCTTTACAACTGGAGCAAAGATTTCGGTGTAGTCGACTCCTTCTTTCTGCTTGAAATCCTTTGACGACCGGTCGAACTTTGTATCTCTTAGAACCATCATGGTCTTCCTTCACTCGATACACCCATTTGTTGTGAAGTGCTTTCTTTCCCATAGGTAACTTGACTAGTTCCCATGTCGATTTGAGATTAAAGACTTCATCTCGTCTTTCATGGCAAGCTCCCACTTGCTAGCATCCAGTGGCTTGACAAGCTTCAGTATAATCTTCGGGCTCCCCTCCATCGAGTCAACAACATATAGTCCATGTATCTCCTGTTAGGCACATGAGGCCGAGAAGACCTTCTCAATACGGGAGTTGGAGTAGGAGGTTACTGCTTGCACATCAAGTTCTTCAAGCTGATTCCTCCGGCTGAGGACTCCTCATTATAGGACTTTCCGGGATATCTTCCACCTCTGCATAAACTGGCCCACTCGCTTCGAGTTCTGGCGCTTTGTATTATGCTTGTCCTTGTACATCACTCTTTCATTGAAGATTACGTCTCTGCTGCGGATCATCTTTTTGTTTTCATCGTCCCATATGCGGTAGCCAAACTCATCTTCACCATAACCAAGGAAAGTACATTTCTTTGATTTTGGATCAAGTTTGTTTACGCCTTGATCAGCGATATGCGCATATGCTACACAGCCAAAAACTCTAAGATGTGAGAGTTTTACCTCTTTTCCGCTCCATACCTCTTCCGGTATCTTGTGTTCCAATGGTACAGATGGACTTCGGTTGATCAAGTAGGCTGTTGTGTTGACTACTTATGCCCAAAGCTGCTTTGGTAAGCCTGATTGCACACGCATGCTTCGGCCCTTTCGGTCAACGTTCGATTCATACGCTCGGCTACACCATTGTGTTGAGGCGTACCGACACGGTTCTCTCCATTCGATTCCGTGCTCATAGCAAAACTTCTTGAATTTGGTGTCTACATATTCACCACCATTGTCGGATCCGAGCTTCTTAATCTTTAATCCTGTCTCATTTTCCACCATAGCTTTCCATATCTTGAAAGCTTCAAATACTTCGACTTATATTTCGAAAGTAAACCCATACCTTTCTGGAGTGATCATCAATGAAAGTCACGAAGTAATGCTTCCCACCAACGGATGAGACAGTCGTTGGACCCCAAACATCGAGTGGATGAGCTCAAGCTTCTCTTTCTTTGGGGTTCTTTTACTTGTCTGAAAGCTGACTCTCTTCGCTTTCCAAGTATGCGATCTTCACACATGTCAATATCTCCTGGCTGAAGACTCGGTAATTTTCCTCTCGAGTGCATGACCTTCATTCCTTTCTCACTCATATGTCCAAGTCTTTGGTGCCATATGTTGGAATTTTCATTCTGTTGCAACTGCAATCAAATGACATGCTCCTGCGAGTCTTGTAGAGAGTTCCACTCTTTTTGCCTCGAGCAATCGTCATCGCACCTTTTGAGATCTTCCATTCATCACCATGGAAGATTGTCGTATAGCCTTCACTAGCTAAGCTGACCTCCTGAGATTAAGCTCTTTGTCGGGTCGGGAATATGTCCGACATTTTTCAATTCCCATACGGACCCATTCGAGCTTAATCCTTCCTGCACCTTTGCCTACAATCTCACATGACTGTTCATTACCAAGGTAAACCTTACCAAGGTTTCGGGAACATAATTCTCCAACAGTTCCTTACTGTGAGGTAGCATGAAAAGAAGCTCAGAGTCTAACACCCAAGACTCCTCCACGCCTTCAAGAGAGCATATCAACGCCTCATCTTTTCCTGAGGTGGAGGCAACGTTTGCTTCGTCCTTTGCTCCTTGATTCTTCAGTGCACTCTTGCACTTGGTTTCTGAAGTGTCCGGTCTTCCCACAATTCCAACACTCGATCGTTTTTGAGTTGTGGGAACTACGATGATTCTCGGACTTGGACCGCTTGTCCTTTGATTTTCCATGTCCAATTTCTTTGGTTGAACTTCTTCCTCTTGACTACTGTATGCAATCCTGAAGAGGTTGATGCTTCACCCGACTCTCTCATGCGGATCTCTTCGTCGAGAACCAAATTTTGAACATCATTAAATCTTAACTTGTTGTTTCCAGATGAGCTACTCACAGTGTGACCAGTAGCATTCCAACTCTCCGGTAGGGAAGACAAAAGTATTAAAGCCTGTACTTCATCATCGAATTTGATG